GCGAGACCAGACGTGTGAGGGCGGCGTCGGGTCAGGAGACAGAGGAGGGGACACAGGAGGGGAACGAGGGGGAAGACGAGCCGGGGACGAGTCTGGCAGAGGGAACACGGGGCCGTAGACGGGAAGAGGGGGAGACGGCAGGAGAGGAACAGGCGCAGGGTCAGGAGACGGAAGGCCGAGCAGACGGAGGGCGGACACAGGCGGGGACTGCTGCTGCGGCGACACAACACCAACACCAGGGCCACAAGCTGCGCGACGGCTACCTCCCGAACCCTCCACACCTGCACCCCCAGAAGGGACACCCCCAGAGTCCACAAACGGCGGCAGCGACGACAGCGGCGGCGGCGGCGGCGGCTGCAGCGACGGCTGCGACGGCGGCGGCGGCGGAGACGACGGCTGCAACGGCGGCGGCGGTGGAGACGACGGCTGCAGCAGCTGCGGCGACGGCGGCTGCGGAGGCGGTGGAGGAGGAGACACCGGGGGAGGGACAGACGGCGAGGACTGCGCCGCAGGACTACCAGAGTCAGAAGACTCGTCGACCGGGACGACCGACGGGAGGGGGGTGACGTGAGACACACCAGAGGGGGCCGGACGGGGGGGCGGGGGGGGGGAGGGGCAGGGACCACCAGGGAGGGAGGAACCAGGAAAAGGGGGGGAGTAACCGGGGGACCACGGTGGGGAAAGCGGCGGTAGAAGGAGACGGACTCGTCAAAGGTGACGTCACGAGAGTGAAAGAAGCGGTGAGACGGCGGGTGGTAGAAGTGCCAGTCGGACGCGTCAAGGGGGAAACCGAGGAAGACGCAGGGGAGGGTGCGGGCAGTGAGCTTGTCCGTGCCAGAGGCACGAACGTGAGCAAGGCAGCCCCAGACGCGGAACGCAGACGCGTCACCAGGGGACCCGGTCCACAGAAGGGTCGGCGAAACCTGCGGCCGCTGGGGGTGCGGCCACAGGTTAAGCTGGTGAGCGGCGTAGCGCACGGCGAACGGCCACAGAAAATGGGGTGCACCGGCGTGGATCATGGAGGTGCGAGCCACCTCCATGACCAAACCGATGGGCCGCTCAGCGACCCCATTCTGCTGCGGGGAGTCCGGCAGGGTAAACGTCTGGGTGATGCCCTCCGCACGACAGAAGCGACCAAGGACACCTGAGGCAAACTCGCCACCCCGGTCGGAGTGAAGGCGCAAGGCAGGGAGACCGCGGTGGACACGAGCAGAGACAAGCCAGGGGATGAGAACGTCAGGCACGTCGGCCTTCCGCTCCAGGGGGAAGACGGTGGTGTAGCGCGTGAAGTCGTCGACAAGCACTAGGAAGAAGCGCTCGCGACGCGGCCCATGGACCGGGGCTGGGCCCCAGACGTCCATGTGCAGAGTCTGAAGTGGTGCGGTGGTAGGGGGAAAAGAGGAGGAGTGAGGGGCACGGCGGAGCCGGCCCTCGACACAAGGCGTGCACGGTGGGGCGGGGGAGGAGGGAAACTCGGGGAACGAACCGGGGAGACCAAGGACGAGACCGTGCTGGGACATGTGACGCAGACGTGGGGGTGCAGGGTGACCAAGGCGGTGGTGCCAAAGGAGAGTCGGGTGAGTGAGGGACCGACAGGAGCACGCGGCTGCAACCTGGGTGGACGCAACTACCGGGGGGGAAGACCCAGCCGGGGACGGCGCGGTGTCAAGTGTGAACAGGCCGGACACTGGGTCCCGGGGGAAAGTGGTAAGGGGGGCACCAGTGGCGGCCTCGGTACAGACAGCATACCGCTCGTGACCAGGGAACGTAGTGGTGACGCCAAGGTCCTGGAGGCAGCCGACACCAACTAGGTTCCTGGAGAACGAGGGGATATGCAGACCTGTGAGAGTGCCCGAAGGAACCGCCGGACAGGGAAGGGAGGTGGAACTGCGGGCAACGACGGGACCACCGGAGGGGTCAGCAAGAGTAACTGCAGCGGGAACAGGCAGCGGCGTCAGCGTCGTGGAGTCGCGGAAGAAACACCGGGAGGCGCCAGAGTCCAAGGTGAAGGAAAGCGCAGCAGTCGCGCGAGGCAGCAGTGAAGCGGTGGAAGCACCAAGGCTAAGCAAAGCAGGAGATCCTACGCCTGACGCAGCAGGGGAGTCTACGCTAGGCACCGCTACACTAGGCAACACAGGGTAATAAGAGGGAAGCACACTAGAGTCATCAGCATACATCACATGCAAGGCCGCTACAATGGCATCCATGTCCAAGTCAAAAATCCTAATGCTACGCCTAAGCAAGCTGTGCCAGTCCGGGAGGTCGGGCGCCGGGCCAAAGCGCTGGCGGAACAGGTCGTCCAGGCGACGAAAACAGCGAGGAGTAGAATGACCGATCTTACCGCAAACGAAGCCGCGGCGAGGACCGGTCTGGATCTGGTACTGACAGGGCCCGCCTCCAGAACCACCACCCGGTGCACCACCACGCGCACGACCACCACCAGCTCCAGGCCACCCAGGTGGGAGAGTACTCGCCGGCCTCGTCTGCGGCGGCTGCTGCGGCTGCTGCAAAGGCTGCGGCTGCGGCGACTGCTGCTGCTGCGGCTGCTGCAACTGTGGAGGCAGCGGGGCAGCTGGACCGGGCAGGGTCCCCACGTCCGCACTGGCACCGGACGACCCGCCTCCACCACTACCCCCACCCGCACCCCCGCCGCCTCCGCCGCTCCCAACCTTGGGGCGGCGGCCCTTCGCCGAGCGGGACTGCACTGCAGCAGCAGTCTCAGCCACAGCGACAGAGCCGTCGGAGAAGGTACACTGAGCGGGGGCACAACCCTGAAAGATAGGGACCGGTACTGTACCGCTCGCCAGGGCTATGGAGCGGTGACGAGTCTCTATGGCAGTCAGGGTGTCAACAAAGTCGGTGAGGGTGAGAGCAGCAGGGTGGATGCTAAGGAACTGGTCGCGGGCGGCGGCAAGGCGGTCAGGTAGGCGGGTGGCAAGGAGGTAGAGGGTAGAGGTCATGGGAGGCTGGTGGACTCTAAGCTGAGCATCAGTGCAGGCAGCGCGCCAGGCCTCATCTATCGAGCGCAGGTGGGCAGCGAGGTCAGAGACAGTGGGGAAAGACGCCAGGTCAGGAAAGAGCAGGGGAAGGATCAGGCGACCCACTGAGGCAGCAGGAGGGGTAGAATAGCGCTTGATGACAGCATCGAGGTAGGCCTGGGCGGTAGGAATGGTTCTAAAGCGAGGGCGCTCAGTGGGGGGGAGGGCATTGCTAATGGCGAGCTGAGCAAGGGCATCGCGGGAAAGCCAGACAGAGCGGGCAAGGGCAGCAGCGGCAGTGGACTCGCGCTCAGCGGGCGTGGGATCAGCGGGCAGCACAGCAGGGGGGTCAGGGCAGGGGAGCATACCGTCTAGGTGTGCAGAAAGCGGGTGGCCGTCCTGCCGCTGGCCAGTGAGGTGGCGGCGAAGGTCAGCCAACCACGCCTCGAACTCCAGAGGCTGACCCTCAACATCAAAACGAAGCTCAGCAGCCATGAGGGGCAGTGGAGGACAGTGCAGTGCGGTGCAGTGCGATGCAGTGCGGTGCAGTGCGGTCCAGTGCGGTGCAGTGCGATGCAGTGCGGTGCAGTGCGGTCCAGTGCGGTGCAGTGCGGTCAGTGCGATGCAAGGCGGGGCAGGAAAGTGCAGGAGGGTGCAAAGTGGTGCGGGGAACGGGGGACAGTACCAGGAAGTATGGAGGGCCGGGGCAGGTGCGTCGGGGCCGGGCAGGCCCGACAAGGCCGGGCGGCGGCGACGGGGCCGGGCGGCTGCGACGGGGCCGGGCGGCGGCGACGGGGCCGGGCGGCAGCGACAAGGCCGGGCGGCTGCGACGTGGCCGGGAGGCTGCGACGGGGCCGGGCGGCTGCGACGGGGCCGGGCGGCAGGGACGAGGCCGGGCCGGACACAGCAGGGCCGGGCAGGGGCGACGGGGCCGGGCGGCTGCGACGTGGCCAGGCGGCGGCGACGTGGCCGGGCGGCTGCGACGGGGCCGGGCGACTGCGACGGGGCCGGGCGGCGGCGACGGGGCCGGGCGGCAGGGACGGGGCCCGGGCAGGCCACAGCAGGGCCGGGCAGGGGCGACGGGGCCGGGCGGGCGAGCAGGGGCCGGGCAGGTGCGACAGGGGCCGGGCAGCCGCGACAGGGGCCGGGCGGGCGCCACGCGGCCGATAGGCCGCGACGGGGCCGAGCAGGGGCGACGGGGCCGAGCAGGGGCGACGGGGCCGAGCAGGGGCGACGGGGATGGGTAGGGGCGCGACGGGGCCTGGAGGGGCGTTACCAAGCCCAGGTAGGGGCGCGACGGGGCCTGGGGGGAGCGCAATGGGGCCCAGGAGGGGCGCTACGGGGCCTGGGAGGAGCGCGACCGGGCTAGGGAGAGGCGCGACGGGGCCTGGAAGGAGCGCAATGGGGCCCAGGAGGGGCGCTACGGGGCCTGGGAGGAGCGCGACGGGGCCCTGGAGGAGCGCTACCAGGCCCTGGAAGGGGCGCGACGGGGCCTGGAGGGGCGCTACGAAGCCCTGAAAGGGGCGCGACGGGGCCTGGAGGGACGCTACGAAGCCCTGGAAGGGGCGCGACGGGGCCTGGGAGGAGCGCAATGGGGCCCAGGAGGGGCGCTACGAGGCCTGGGAGGAGCGCGACGGGGCCCAGAAAGGGGCGCAACGGGGCCCAGGAAGGGGCGCGACGGGGCTAGGGAGGGTCGCGACGGGGCTAGGGAGGGTCGCGACGGGGCTAGGAGCACGACGGGGCCCAGCTAGGGGGCGAGCGGAAGCGTGAGGGGGGGGGGGGGGGGATCCTACCTACGCGTGATACCATAACAAACAGTAAAATTTATGTTAGAGAGAGAGAGTACACAAACATATACCTAACAGTTGTACTCTCTAGAAGATGACCCTATACAGTCTATACAAGCATGATAACTAAACATGTTTGACATTAGTCTCTGGAAAGATCCTAAGGGCATTTCTCAGCCCAACAGTGTAGAACTAGGAGGGATCACATGTGAGGCAGTGTAGCATGGGAATACACTTTCCGTAAGTTTTTTTTTTAACTCGCATTTCTTCGTCAATTGTCAGTACAGGCTCCAACATCAACAGGCACACTAGGATAATTGCAATCTATCACCAACATCAGTAGCAGCAGCAGCAGCAGCAACAGCAGCAACAGCAACATCAGCAGCAGCAGCATCAGCATCAGCACCAGCAGTAGCATCAGCAACAGCACTCTCAGCAACATCAGCAGCACCAGAAGCATCAGGACCAGCACCCGCAGCAGCATCACCGCCGCCACCACCACCACCACAAGCACCCTCGCCAGTGCTATGCCCATCAACAGCAGCAGCTACACAAGCAGCAGCAGCAGCAGCAGCAGCAGCAGAAGGTACAGCCTTCGCAGCAGCATTGCCGCCATCTCCCCCACCAGTGCTATCCCCATCAACAGCAGCAGCAGCAGCGGCAGCAGCAGAAGCAGAAGCAGAAGCAGGCACAGCCTTTGCAGCAGCATCCCCAGCATTCCCACTGGCACCAGCAGCACCATCAGCATTCCCACTGGCACCAGCAGCACCATCAGCATTCCCACTGGCACCAGCAGCACCATCAGCATTCCCACTGGCACCAGCAGCACCATCAGCATTCCCACTGGCACCAGCAGCACCATCAGCATTCCCACTGGCACCAGCAGCACCATCAGCATTCCCACTGGCACCAGCAGCACCATCAGCATTCCCACTGGCACCAGCAGCACCATCAGCATTCCCACTGGCACCAGCAGCACCATCAGCATTCCCACTGGCACCAGCAGCACCATCAGCATTCCCACTGGCACCAGCAGCACCATCAGCATTCCCACTGGCACCAGCAGCACCATCAGCATTCCCACTGGCACCAGCAGCACCATCAGCATTCCCTTGCTGATCATCCCTCTCTTCCTCCTCCTCGTCATCATCACTGTCATCTGATCCATACGCCAGCAACCCTCTCAGCCCACCCCCTGGCCCATCATCCTCCACCTCCTCTGCCTTCCGCTTCGCTCCCACTGCTGTCACGCTCACACCAACACCAGCAGCATCAGAACCAGCTGCAGCAGCAGCTCCAGAACCAGCAGCACCAGCGGCAGCAAGAGCAGGAGTGGAGTCGTGAGCAGAAGCAGCAGTAGCAGGAGCACCCTTGGCAGCGGATTTAGCAGCAGGGGGGGACTTGAGTATCAGAACAGGAGGGGTATGGGGCACAGCTCGGCCTAACCCATCCCAAGCTGTAGTCATTCCCTTGCCTGGAGAGAGGGCACATGAGCAAAGAGAGAGCGAGAGAGGGGTATGAGGGTTTAAAACCCAAACCCAAAAAATTAGCCAGAGAATTAGTCGCAACCACCTTCCAATTGCAAGCACCTACCAGTCGCACCTGGCAGTCGCAACCACATGGCAGTCGCAACCACCTGGCAGTCGCAACCAACTCCAGTCGCAACCACCTACCAGGAGCGTGTGGAGTAGCATGTATGACTGATCGCCGGGCCACTTGTCTCTGCGCCTGCGCTGCATGCAGCACACGCATGCATGACTGAGAGCCGCAGCCTACCAGGAGAGTGCAGAGTGGCATGTATGACTGATCGCCTGGCCACTTGTCTCTTCGGCCGAGATTCCCTTAAGCTGCCCCTGAGCTGGTTTTAACCACCAGTTAAGCTGCCCCTTAAGCTGCCCCCGAGATTCCCTTAAGCTGCCCCTGAGGGCCTGAGCTGGTTTTAACCACCAGTCTAGTCGCAACCACCTACCAGGAGCATGCGGAGTAGCATGTATGACTGATCGCCGGGCCACTTGTCTCTGCGCCTGCGCTGCCCTTGCAGACAGCATTGCCTTCTGCCTCTCCATCCGCTCAGCCTCTGCTGCCTGTGCGTGTGAAAAGAACGGGGAGGACAACACGTCGTATTGAGGGGGACACAGACACAGGCATTCCAGCAGCCATCCTTACCTTACCTTCTCACATGCTGTTCTCCCGCATGTTGTTCTCCTTTACCCTCCCATGCCCTAACTCCCTTACCCTTCCATGCCCTCCCATGCCCTCCCTCTCTTACCCTCCCATGCCCTCCCCCCCTTACCCTCCCATGCCCTCCCTCACTTACCCTCCCATGCCCTCCCTCCCTTACCCTGCCAGAACCCTACCATGCCTCACCCTGGCAAATGGGTCGCTGCAGAACTTGGAAATATGGCCCTTGCGACCGCACCTGGTGGGGGTGGTGCAACGAGGCGTGGAGTGGAGGGAAAGACGAGGGATGGGGGCAGCATGAGAAGCCTGCCTTTGCTGCAGAATCAGACAACGCCTCACCCTGGCAAATGGGTCGCTGCAGAACCTGGAAATATGGCCCTTGCGACCGCACCTGGTGCGAGTGACGCAACATGCGAGGAAAAAAGAGGGGTGGAGGCAGGATGAAAGCCTGGTTGGTGTACAACCGGACAAAGTCACACCCTGGCAAATGGGTCCCTTCAGAACTTGGAAAGTATGGCCCTTGTGAACGCACCTGGAGTGAGGAACACAACAAGGGTAGGGGGTGAGGTGGTGTGGTTGGTGGTGGTGGCGGTGGCGGTGGCGGTGGCGGTGGCGGTGGCGGTGGCGGTGGCGGTGGCGGTGGCGGTGGCGGTGGCGGTGGCGGTGGTGGTGGTGGTGGTGGTGGTGGTGGTGGTGGTGGTGGTGGTGGTGGTGTGCGAATTCATTATGCATGCCAAATCGAATTATCTCACAGCTCAATCCCCCTGTTTTTTGGCAAAACCCAAAAACGTTGTAAGGCAACATTCACCCAAATCAAGTGGGCTGTGTGACAAGCTTAAGGAGTTTTGTTACCCTAGCAATGGTAGCGTCTGGATCTAACACTTAAGTTTGACAAAGCAAGGTGGAGGGAGAAGGGTTCAAAGCAGGAAGAAGAGCGGGTGAGGAGAGGAGAAGAAGCAAAAGATACAAACGAGGTTAACCCAGGGCAAAAAGAGATAAAGAAAGAAAGAGCCAGGCAAAAGGGAGAAAGAGGCGCAAGGAAAGGGAGCCCGTAATCTTCAGTTTCGCGACTTTCTCATGGCGAAAAATGTGTCGGAAGTTGGAAATGGCCTGACTTGTCTTCCCGCAGAGGCTGCAGATAGGAACCGAGTGAGAAAGAGGCTGGCGAGAGAGAAAGAGAAAGAGGAGGGGGGGGGGGGGGGGGGGGGGGGGGGGGGGGGGGGGGAGGGAGGGAGGGGCGGGGGTGGGAAGGGGGAGGATGGTACGTACTTGTGGCAGGAAACGTTTCGGCAGTTGCGCTGGAGATGACCCGTCTGGCCGCAGATGCTGCAAGTGACGCCGGCTGTGCATTCCCACGCCATGTGGCCCCTCCTACTCCCCACCGCCATATGCACAGCAAGAGATGTGCGGAGAGAGGGAGGTAGACATGCAAGAAACATGGAGAAAGAGCATTGATGTCTTGGAGGTGGGACAGCCGCCCGGGGTGTGTGCATACCCACACCACGTGGCCCCTCTCTACTACTTCCCACCGGCACATGCAGACAGAGAGATGCGCAAAAGAGATGTCACATCTGCACGGTGCAGACTGAACGGGTGCAGGCAGGGCAAGGGTAAGATTTGGAGGAGACTGAAAAGCCACAAGAATCATGATAGCGAGAGATGCGCGGGGAAAGAGACGCAGCGGGCGCAGAGCAAGTGAAAAAAACTAAAACGAGAGATGTGCGGAGAAACACGCCAAGAGACGAATGCATAGGGCCGGGGATGAGAGAGGGGATGAGAGAGGGGATGAGTGAGGGGATGAGAGAGGGGATGAGAGAGGGGATGAGTGAGGGGATGAGAGAGGGAATGAGAGAGGGGATGAGTGAGGGGATGAGTGAGGGGATGAGAGAGGGGATGAGTGAGGGGATGAGAGAGGGGATGAGAGAGGGAATGAGAGAGGGAATGAGTGAGGGGATGAGAGGGGATGAGTGAGGGGATGAGAGAGGGGATGAGTGAGGGGATGAGAGAGGGGATGAGTGAGGGGATGAGAGAGGGGATGAGTGAGGGGATGAGAGAGGGGATGAGTGAGGGGATGAGAGAGGGGATGAGTGAGGGGATGAGTGAGGGGATGAAAGAGGGGATGAGTGAGGGGATGAGAGAGGGGATGAGAGAGGGGATGAGTGAGGGGATGAGAGAGGGGATGAGTGAGGGGATGAGAGAGGAGATGAGTGAGGGGATGAGAGAGGGGATGAGAGAGGGGATGAGTGAGGGGATGAGAGAGGGGATGAGCGAGGGGATGAGTGAGGGGATGAGTGAGGGGATGCGTGAGGGGATGAGGGAGGGGATGAGAGAGGGGATGAGTGAGGGGATGAGAGAGGGGATGAGTGAGGGGATGAGAGAGGGGATGAGCGAGGGGATGAGTGAGGGGATGAGTGAGGGGATGCGTGAGGGGATGAGGGAGGGGATGAGAGAGGGGATGAGTGAGGGGATGAGTGAGGGGATGAGAGAGGGGATGAGAGAGGGGATGAGTGAGGGGATGAGTGAGGGGATGAGTGAGGGGATGCGTGAGGGGATGAGGGAGGGGATGAGAGAGGGGATGAGTGAGGGGATGAGTGAGGGGATGAGAGAGGGGATGAGTGAGGGGATGAGTGAGGGGATGAGAGAGGGGATGAGTGAGGGGATGAGTGAGGGGATGAGTGAGGGGATGAGAGAGGGGATGAGAGAGGGAATGAGAGAGGGAATGAGTGAGGGGATGAGAGGGGATGAGTGAGGGGATGAGAGAGGGGATGAGTGAGGGGATGAGAGAGGGGATGAGTGAGGGGATGAGAGAGGGGATGAGTGAGGGGATGAGAGAGGGGATGAGTGAGGGGATGAGTGAGGGGATGAGAGAGGGGATGAGTGAGGGGATGAGAGAGGGGATGAGAGAGGGGATGAGTGAGGGGATGAGAGAGGGAATGAGAGAGGGGATGAGTGAGGGGATGAGTGAGGGGATGAGAGAGGGGATGAGTGAGGGGATGAGAGAGGGGATGAGAGAGGGAATGAGAGAGGGAATGAGTGAGGGGATGAGAGGGGATGAGTGAGGGGATGAGAGAGGGGATGAGTGAGGGGATGAGAGAGGGGATGAGTGAGGGGATGAGAGAGGGGATGAGTGAGGGGATGAGAGAGGGGATGAGTGAGGGGATGAGAGAGGGGATGAGTGAGGGGATGAGTGAGGGGATGAGAGAGGGGATGAGTGAGGGGATGAGAGAGGGGATGAGAGAGGGGATGAGTGAGGGGATGAGAGAGGGGATGAGTGAGGGGATGAGAGAGGAGATGAGTGAGGGGATGAGAGAGGGGATGAGAGAGGGGATGAGTGAGGGGATGAGAGAGGGGATGAGCGAGGGGATGAGTGAGGGGATGAGTGAGGGGATGCGTGAGGGGATGAGGGAGGGGATGAGAGAGGGGATGAGTGAGGGGATGAGAGAGGGGATGAGTGAGGGGATGAGAGAGGGGATGAGCGAGGGGATGAGTGAGGGGATGAGTGAGGGGATGCGTGAGGGGATGAGGGAGGGGATGAGAGAGGGGATGAGTGAGGGGATGAGTGAGGGGATGAGAGAGGGGATGAGAGAGGGGATGAGTGAGGGGATGAGTGAGGGGATGAGTGAGGGGATGCGTGAGGGGATGAGGGAGGGGATGAGAGAGGGGATGAGTGAGGGGATGAGTGAGGGGATGAGAGAGGGGATGAGTGAGGGGATGAGTGAGGGGATGAGAGAGGGGATGAGTGAGGGGATGAGTGAGGGGATGAGTGAGGGGATGAGAGAGGGGATGAGAGAGGGAATGAGAGAGGGAATGAGTGAGGGGATGAGAGGGGATGAGTGAGGGGATGAGAGAGGGGATGAGTGAGGGGATGAGAGAGGGGATGAGTGAGGGGATGAGAGAGGGGATGAGTGAGGGGATGAGAGAGGGGATGAGTGAGGGGATGAGTGAGGGGATGAGAGAGGGGATGAGTGAGGGGATGAGAGAGGGGATGAGAGAGGGGATGAGTGAGGGGATGAGAGAGGGGATGAGTGAGGGGATGAGAGAGGAGATGAGTGAGGGGATGAGAGAGGGGATGAGAGAGGGGATGAGTGAGGGGATGAGTGAGGGGATGAGTGAGGGGATGCGTGAGGGGATGAGGGAGGGGATGAGAGAGGGGATGAGTGAGGGGATGAGTGAGGGGATGAGAGAGGGGATGAGTGAGGGGATGAGAGAGGGGATGAGAGAGGGGATGAGTGAGGGGATGAGAGAGGGGATGAGTGAGGGGATGAGAGAGGGGATGAGAGAGGGGATGAGTGAGGGGATGAGAGAGGGGATGAGTGAGGGGATGAGAGAGGGGATGAGAGAGGGGATGAGAGAGGGGATGAGTGAGGGGATGAGTGAGGGGATGAGTGAGGGGATGCGTGAGGGGATGAGGGAGGGGATGAGAGAGGGGATGAGTGAGGGGATGAGTGAGGGGATGAGTGAGGGGATGAGAGAGGGGATGAGAGAGGGGATGAGTGAGGGGATGAGTGAGGGGATGAGTGAGGGGATGCGTGAGGGGATGAGGGAGGGGATGAGAGAGGGGATGAGTGAGGGGATGAGAGAGGGGATAGAGGGAGGGAGGGAGGCGCAGAGAGCGATACGCGAGCAGCGAACAAAAAGTGCAAGGAACGCCGCAGAAGAGGTTCGCAGAAAATGAGACTTGTGGACCCTCAGAACAAGTAAACGGAATAAGGAAATAAGGAATTGAGGAATTGAGGAAAAAGAAGCCGGCATGAGGAATGATGCTCTCGCCAGACGCCTCTTCTTTTCTGAGAGTAAAGCAACTTGTGGTACTAAGAGGTGGGGAAGCATGGAAGCACGGAAGGATACGATGCCGTAACAAGTCAGAACCAACCAGGTAATGAAAAAAAAAGCAACAAAAAAACGGGAGGGGGGACACTGGCAGCCAAATCTGCCTCGTTATAAGCACGTACCCGTTGCATTTGAAGCACGTCTTAATGTTGCAGTCCCTGGATAAGTGACCCAACCGGCCGCACCGATGGCATAACGAGATCGCATCCATGACAGAGCTGCACTACTTACTCGTTATAAGTGCTCAGGCACGTACCCGTTGCATTTGAAGCACGTCTTAATGTTGCAGTCCCTCGATAGATGACCCAACCGGCCGCACCGGTGGCACGACGAGATCGCATCCATGGCGCGTCTCCTTGTTTGGTGGGTTAAATCTACTAATTCTCCTTTGCCGCTCTCCCTCGCGGCTCTGAGTCTACTAAACTTAGTAAGCGATCACCCGCTCTCGCCCGCTAGTAACTTTGATCGGCGTCCCCCCTTTCTCGGCGCTGTGTTTGAGCGGTTAACTCACTACTACTACCCCACTCGGTTGCTTTTCAGGCGCCTTAAAAGCAGTCCCGGTTAACTCACTAGTAGTACTACCCCACTCGAACACTCCTCACTCGTTGCTCCTCACTCCGTCTCGAAACTAAGCTTCTGACTCAATCCGCCATGCTCTCGCTCACCCGCTACGCTTCTACTAGTAGTAAGTCAGAGTACGAACTCTGACGTCACTGCATTGAAAAGCATACGAAGAAAAGAAAAACTAGTCCACAAGCGAGAGTCGCCATGGTCTATACTACTCTCGAGTGGTTCGTTGTCGGAAGACTTTAACGGTTCGCTCGTGCAGAGCCTAGACTACAGTCGCTTCTAGCAGGAAACTATGACGGTGGTATTTTTATAGCTTCGGGTCCTGGAAGGATGGAAACGCCGGACGACGGCTCGGGTGGGAGTGTGGATGGGAGATTCAGCTGCGTGCGTAGGGCAGAAGGCAGTTAAGGGAGGAAGGGTAGAAAATAGGGTTGGGTCGCAGCTTTTCATATTTCTGCGAGATAGAATGGGAATCAATTTGCACCTGGGCGAACTAGCATACCGCAGCGTCTCTGCACTACAGCGGACCACCTGTCGATATTCAAATATTCATTATAGCGTTGTGGTAAACAGTTTTTGTAGGCAGTTTTGCAAGTAGTTTGAAAGTTGAAAGTCTTAAGACCTGCTAAATCTTGCAACTCACTATAAATATAACCTCAAACCTACTAACAATTCTTGTGTAATCTCCAGGCAATCACTTTTTTACTATCTACTTCCCCAGGCAATGCAGCATTATGGCGTTTTGTGCATGCATGCGGTTCTCAGCTTGCGGGAAAACAATGGAGTAAGGAGCTTCAATAACTCCATCCGTCACCTCCACCCCTCTCTCCGCCGGTAGGCAGTGCATAAACAGGCAATCCTTGCCGGCCCGTGCCATCATTGCCTCATCCACCTGGGAAATGTGTAATGGCAATAGCAAAGAGCAATGAGAATGGGGAGACAATGGAATAGGGACATTGGATAAGTGTCTACTTCCCCAGGCAAAGCAGCATGACGACGACATTTTGTGCAGCGCATGCATGTGTGCGGTTCTCAGTTTGAACTTTCACCATCTCACCATTGCTTTTGCAATCTCGACTGTGCTCTCCCTCCCTCATTCCATACTCCCACCCCTCCTCACACACACATATACACACACACGCTCCCTCACACCTGGAAGCCTTGGAGCATCGTGTTTTGTGTCTCCTCCTTCCGCCCCGCCCACACGTCCGTGTTAACTACGTTGCTGCCCTTAACCGCCTCCACCGGGTCATTACTGATCTCTGTCGTGCTCCCCCTTCCCCCCACCCTCTCTCATTCACTCACTCACTCACTCCCTTTCTCCCTTCCCTCTTCCTCTCAAAAGCACATAATTATGCAAGCACACACACACACACACCCTCCCTCGCACCTGGAAGCCTTGGAACGTTGTCTTCCTCATCTCCGCCTCCTCCTTCTGCCCCATGCTCGCCCACACGTCCGTGTAAACCACATTGCTGCCCTTAACCGCCTCCACAGGGTCATTACTGATCTCTATTGTGCTTATCCCTGCGGCTCGTGCCCGCTCCACAGTTGCGGCGTCGGGCTCGAAACCCACGGGGCAGACGCAGACGAAGTGCATGGGGATGACTGCTGCCAGGCGCAGCCAGGAGTGCACAATGTTGTTGCCATCGCCTACATAGGTGACCTGGGGGAAAACAAGGGGAGAGGGTGTGCTGTGTCTATTAATAACCCGCGGGGCAGACGCAGACGGAGTGCATGGGGATGGCTGCTGCCAGGCGCAGCCAGGAGTGCACAATGTTGTTGCCATCGCCTACATAGGTGACCTGAGGGAACACAAGGGGAGAGGGTGTGCTGTGTCTATTAATAACCAGTAGGGCAGACGCAGACCACGTGCATGGGGATGGCTGCTGCCAGGCGCAGCCAGGAGTGCACGATGTTATTGCCATCGCCCACGTATGTGACCTGTGGGGGGTGGGTAGGAAGGGGTGGGGTGCGGTGAGTAGGTGACGGAAAGCAGGCGCAGACAAAGTGCATGGGGAAGAGTGCAGCCAGGCGCAGCCAGGAGTGCAAAATGTTGTTGCCGTCGCCCACGTATGTGACCTGTGGGGAATCAGAACGGGGTGTACGTTGTGTGTATTTTTTAGGCGCCTCAAAAATAGAATCAGAAAGGGGTGTACGTCGCATGTATTAGCAGCAAGTAGGGCAGACGAAGACAAAGTGCCGCCACGGCGCCACCTGGGGATGACCGTCGCCACGCGCAGCCAGGAGTGCACAATGCTGCTACCATCATCGCTACAATCTGCCCCAGGTGCTCGATGGTGGTGAGAGCATCCGCCATGATCTGACTAACAAGAGTGCTGCTGCTGCCCTTCCAACCATGAGTGACAACGCCCTCGCCTCAGCTCTCACCTTCATACCCTCAATCTGCCCCAGGTGCTCGATGATGGTGAGCGTATCCGCCATGATCTGGCACAGGTGGTTGTAGTCCACTGCCTATGTACCCCTCTGTCCATTCCACATGCTCATTGCCCATGTGCCACCTCTCATACTCATCTCACCTTCATGCCTTCGATCTACCCCAAGTGCTCGATGATGGTGAGGGCATCCGCCATGATGGGGCATAGATGACCGCAGCTCGTCACGCCCGCTGCTCTCTAAGTGACCCTTCCATCCCCCCACCTTCATCCGCCCTCCCACACAATCATCCACCCACCTTCATGCCTTCGATCTGCCCCAGGTGCTCGATGATGGTGAGGGCATCCGCCATGATCTGGCATGGGTGGTTGTAGTCCGTGAGTCCGTTCACCACGGGGATGCTCGAGTACTTGGCCAGATCCAATATGTCCTGAGGGGGAGAAAGAGAAGCAAGGGGGAGAGGGTGGAGGCGGGTTGAGGGGAGGAATACGGGAAAGGGAGATACGCACAGTAACCACAGGTGGTTGTAGTCCGTGCGCCCGTTCTCCACAGGGATGCTCGAGTACTTGGCCAGATCCATTAGGTTTGAGACGTCTCAAACTAGGTTAAGTAGTTTAGTTTTGAGACGTCTCAAAACTAGGGTAAGTAGTTAAGTTTTGAGATGCTCAAATCTAGGTAAGTAGTTTAGTTTTGAGACGCTAAAAACTAGGGTAAGTAGTTTCGTTTTGAGACGCCCAAAACTAGGTAAGTAGTTTAGTTTTGAGACGCTCAAAACTAGGTACGTAGTTAAGTTTTGAGACGCTCAAAACTAGGTACGTAGTTAAGTTTTGAGACGCTCAAAACTAGGTAAGCCCAATAAGGCGGCGGATAACTAGGGTGTCCACGAGGCCCATTGCCCCGTTTCCCCGGCTGGATGGCGTCGGGCCCCAGGTAGAGCGCGTGGGCATAGTGATAGAGCACCCACTAAAGTGGGTGACATAAAAGAGTGTGCCTGTGGCAGCACCAAACAACCACCTGGTGGGCAAAGAGCCGATCTTTGATAATGTCACTATAACCACTGATGACGCGGCTGATATCTCTCATCTCCTCCCGCTTCCCCAGCTGGATGGTGTGGGGCCCCACCCCAGGTAGAGCGCCATAGTGTGTATACCTGATGTGCGAACAGCCGAGCCATGATGATGTCATTATAACCGCTGATCACCCTGCTGATGTCCCTCGTCTCCTCCCTCTTCCCCAGCTGGATGGTGTCGGGCCCCAGGTAGAGCGCGTGGCCGCCCAGCAGGAAGAAGCCCGACTCGAAGCTCACTCGCGTGCGCATGGACGGCTTGGTGAAGATCATCGACATGGTGTGACCCTATGGGGGGGAGGAGGGGGGGGGATGGAACAAGATTAAAGACGGGGATGGAAGGGGGAGAGAAGCTCAATCGCGTGCGCATGGGCGGCTTGGTGAAGATCATCGACATGGTGTGACCATGAGATAGGAGGATGGGGTGGGAGGAGGGGGGGAAGGCACATGGGGATTGGGAAGAAAATGTGTAAGGGAAGACTGCTGTCTGAATGTCACTCGCGTGCGCATGGACGGCTTCGTGAAGTTCATTGACATGGTGTGGCCCTATGAGGGGGAGGAGAGGGGGAGGGAGGAGGTGGGGGCCCCGGGGCGGGGGGAGGGGGGGGGGGGGGACGAGACACATGGGGAATGTGTAACGGAAGACTACTGACTGAGTGATACTAGTATGCGCATGGGGGGCTTGGTGTGGCCCTATTGGGTGGGAGAGGGGGGGCGGGGGGAAGGGGGAGATAGCACATGTGGAAGGGTAAGAAAACGTGCAAGGGAAGACTGACAGAGCGTCACTCGCGTGCGCATGGGGGGCTTGGTGAAGAGCATCCACACGCTGTGGTGTGGGGGGGAGGGCGGGGAGGGGGGAATGAGGAACAGGGGGGACAAGGATGAACAAGGGGAGACAGAGGTTGAGTAGAAGTAAGAATCCTGACTCGAGGCTCAGCCGCGTGCGTATGGAGGGCTTGGTGAAGATCATCGACATGCTGGGGGGGTGGGGGGGGAAGGGAGAGAGAGATAGGGAGGGGATGGGACAGGGGATAAAGAGGGGGATGGAAGGGGGAGAGAAGCTCACTCTCGTGTGCAATGTGCATGCATGGAGAGCTCCATGGAGGTCAGGCCCATGGGGATCAGGTCCATCGAGGTCAGCTCCATGGAGGTCAGCTCCATGGAGGTGAGCTCCATCGAGGTCAGGTCCATGGAGGTCAGGTCCATGGAGAACAGCTCCATGGGGGTCAGCTCCATCGAGGTCATGTGGCCTTGGGGGATGACAGTGAGAGGCGTGGGATCTCAGCTTCTTGCCGGCACTTGGGAAGAAGGAGAAAAGGTCACAGAGAGCATTTGGAAGAAGGAGAAAAGGTCACAGAGAGCATTTGGAAGAAGGAGAAAAGGTCACAGAGAGCATTTGGAAGAAGGAGAAAAGGTCACAGAGAGCATTTGGAAGAAGGAGAAAAGGTCACAGAGAGCATTTGGAAGAAGGAGAAAAGGTCACAGAGAGCATTTGGAAGAAGGAGAAAAGGTCACAGAGAGCATTTGGAAGAAGGAGAAAAGGTCACAGAGAGCATTTGGAAGAAGGAGAAAAGGTCACAGAGAGCATTTGGAAGAAGGAGAAAAGGTCACAGAGAGCATTTGGAAGAAGGAGAAAAGGTCACAGAGAGCATTTGGAAGAAGGAGAAAAGGTCACAGAGAGCATTTGGATCCTCAACTGAGTTTGGAGGGTGAGTAGCTTCAAAGAGCATTCTAGGGCTAAAAGTAATCAGTTACAGCTTTCCGCACAAGTTACAGTTACAGTTCGTGCAGCAGCACACATGTGTTTGAACTTTCCCCCCCCAATATCATCTGACATTGACAGCTGCACGCTTCCTAACCCGGCAATCTCTGTAACACTTCGTATCAGTTTACTGACTTTGAGAGGCTGGAAGGAGCGATCGCAACTAGGAATTTCAGGGGGTGCAGTGCAGCCAGCAACCCTTAACAGTTTACTGACCTTGAGTGGCTGGAAGGAGCGATCGCCAGACTTGATGATCGCTTTCACTTCTTTGGCGCGATTGAGAATGTGGAGGATAGTGTCCTTATCGAAGTCGTCAATGTGGAGGAAATGTGTGGGAGCAGCGGCAGCAGCTGCGAGAACACACGTAAGGAATTCATTGGATTAGAAGGGGTGTAGCTTTTGTACCGGAATCTATTTTTGAGGCGCCTCAAAAAGAAATACGTGGGAGCAGCGGCGGCAGCTGTGAGAACACACAGAAGAAATGGATTGGATTGAAACGGGTGTCGCGTTTATACAGGAACGGGGTGTTTCCGCAAAAATGTGCTTAAATGAAGGCAACGGGAAGAGTCCAGGAGACCAAATGAGAGGAATAAGGCTTCGGCTCGTCTCGATGATTAAGAAATGAAATTCTCTGTAACTTAGCACGTACCTCGCACGGAAACTGATGATCTGGCAGGAGATCGAGCGACACATTTCCGCGACGCAGCGAGGCTCACGGGCATCGCCTGACATTCGCAACAATGTCAATGTCAGAATGTGCGAGAGAAATGTCGAATTTCACATGTCAATGTCCGAATGTGCGATATAAATGTATAGAAAAGAAATCATTATATTTTACCTTCAGGCCACTGAAGTTCTTATGCACGACAGGATGAGCCCCTGCTGAGTGGAAAACAGCAGCGGAGGGTCTGCAGAGAGCGACATTGGACGTCATTTTTCGTTCAAAACGACTCTCCAATGGACTCTTTGATTACGGCGAGCGGAAATGTGGAATGAACGACTGCGTTTCGGAGCGGTACTGCTGCTAAACTGATTAGGATTCCAGGCAAGAGAATGATGTGTCTAATGAGAAAGCAACGTTGTGATGATGGTTGAATTGAATGGTCTAGCAACAAGCGGATGAAGGAGAAATGTCAAGGACCTATTTACGTAATTTCAAATGCTACCAACCTGTAAATGTCGAAAGCAGCATGATACTTTTCTCGGCATTCAGCAGGGAAGCTCTCACTGCTCAACATCGAGATTTACAGGGTCCCGAATGTTTGTTGAAGATTACAGTGAATGTTGCGGAACGTTACAGGTCGGTACAGTTTCCGAAACGCGGTCCCTGGATCTAGGAGCGTGCTTCTATCGAATCTAGGATGTGAGAGGCCCTTGCTCGGGCTGGCGAAAGAAGGCAGCTTTCGATCGCGTCTGGTTGGCAACTAGCTCACGTGCTCGGCGCCGTTGATCCCATCTAGCCTACCAGTGAGCGCTGGAAGATCTACACGAGCTCTCATTGGACAATCTTCGCGTTTTGGGCGACGAAGCCACAGGAAACTGCCACGTCAGTTCTCATGCACATCCCCGTCACTTCCCTCCAACTTCGATGTCGAAACCACACCTTATTATGCGTAGGACATACTAATCAAAGGTGTTTGTCGAAAATAGGTCTAACGTTTTGGTATATCCCATCAACTAGTAGAGGGTACATAACTGGAGGTTCCGAGGTTCACCACGTCACTCAATCACGCACCACGCATCAGTCCGTGTCATTACCTCAATATTGTCGTCCACTCGGACGATTCATTGGCCGCATTCCAATATCGAAGTTGGAGGTTTCGAGGCTCCGTCAATCGTTCGTTACGTCCGAGGTGGGCTAGAGATTTTCCCGCCAGTCAACCTGCTGATGTTGGGTTTGGGAAGGCAGCAGATACAATTGCACCACTGCAACCTCTTACTCCTCTATGGCTGTCTGTAAGCCAACTTGCATTTGTGAAAATGGATGCAACGACCAAACGGGGGCGAATCTAGTCAATCAGGAATGACCAGAACATATTATCTCAAGGGAAATCCTTGCAGTCAGTGATGCAAGTGGCCACTGGCCGCCTTTCTGTAAGAATAAGGCGACCGTTTGAGCAAGTTCGTTCTGCGAATTCACAGTTAGCTCCTTATGCTTCGACCAGATGTAGATTTTCGGACGAATCTGGCGACACCCCACAATTCCGGACTTGATAAATTCCAGTAGTTTCTATCAAATATTGATTAGCAGATTCTTTCCATTGGAGAAGCATCTGGGCTAACTTCCTCTAGAATCGCTTTCAGTCGACACTCGCTTATGGGTATCAAGGCCCTTACCGAATTGCACGGCAGGCAGGAATTTCTCCGTTTTAAGGAGTTGCGGTACCCTTATAATAGCCACTGCTGTTCCGGGTCACCACGTTCAAATCTTCAAGTCCGTTCGGGCTCTAGGAAGCAGAAGAACGGTTCACAGAAGCATCATGGCAGTCAGTTTGGAGATGATCCCGCGCTGAGCATGAAGAACGGAAGAAGCGATGGCACAGAGAAGAAAAGCGGGGCGAATTCGCCGTTTTCTGTCCTCAAGGGCGTGACACCTGTCAACAAGGAGTCCGTAGCTCAAGTATGACAACGGCAACTTGTCTTTTGTATTTGTCTTTGCTCATTGACCACGCCTTCCTCTGAATCGCCTCAAATCCCTTCCACCATACGTCGTTTGCGTTATATTTGAAGCCTTTTTTTTTCCCGTGATGTGAATTCCCTCCCCGTTTTTCCTTCTCAGGTGAATTCTCGTGCTACTAGCCGTCAAACGGCAGGCACTGCTACCAGTGGTATGGAGGACGCCACTGTGGAGGAATATCTGACCAAGTATTACGGGAGTGATGAGGACGAAGATGTAGTTCGAGCTGGTCCACGAACAGAGAAGTTCTGGAAGGTGAGCTTCTACTAAAAAGGATAAGCGAACCCTTGTGAAGGATGCTACTGTGGAGGAGTATCTGACAAAGTGTTACTGGAGTGATGAGGACGAGGATGTTATTCGAGCTGGTCCACGAACAGAGAAGTTCTGGAAGGCGGGTTTTTTAACGGGATACGAGAGCCCGTGTGAAGGATGCTACTGTGGAGGAGTATTCGGCCAAGTATCACGGGAGTGATAAGGACGATGATACATTTCGAGCTGGCCGACGTTCAGAGAAATTTTGGAAGTTGAGCTTTTAACGGGGATAAGAGATCCCCATGGTGGGTCCGCATCAAAGGTATTCTTGTGGAGGACGCTATTGTGGGAGGGGAGCACAACTTTCAAACCACAACCACAGCCTTTCAAGAGGAGCGCAAGGATGGGGAAGAGGAGGTTTCAACCAAACTCAGGCGAGAAATAAATTAAAAAATGTGGAAAAGAAGAAGAAAAAGCCCTCTTCCTCCGCATCTGCTCTGTGCAATCTCATCTCATCGTATCCTTCCCCGTGCGTGCCTCTCAGGCGTTTATAGAGGAACGCAAGGATGGGGATGAGAAGGCTCCAACGAGGTTTAGGAGGAAAAAACAGCCCAAGTCGGAGAGTGGAGCAGCAGGGATCGGAGGGGAGAAAGGCACAGCTGAGAACCCTGTGGATTTCTACGACATTCGAGGAGAGTACTCGGATTATGAGAACATGTGAGTGGCGACTGCGGTGGCTGTCAGCATAGTTGCTTCGGTATGGAGCTAGTGAAGGCTGTTGATATATATCTCTCCTAGAGGGAATTCGCGAGATGAAGAAGTTAACTAACCTGGCAACTTGAGTGTTGAATAACAGGACAACTGGGAGGGAGCCTAGTTTTGAGGCGCCTCAAAAAGGAGCCCTGACGATTTCTAGTTGGCAGGCTCGACGAGTTTGGCAGCTGGGCCATGCTGAAGTCACTGCCAGGCTCCGCCTCTTGATGCTTCCTCCCTTGTTTTCCCCTCCCAGCCCTACAGACGCCTTGCCTCTGGTGCTAATCAACAGACCGCGCTGAAATCCATGCCAGGCTTTTCCTTGTCTCGTGCTGGTTTAACTCCTCTCTCTCCCCCCCCCTTCCCCCCACTTCCCCCCCCCCCTTCCCCAGCTCCACTGACGCCTTGCCTCTGGTGCTGGTCGATGGGTACAACGTAGTTGGCAGCTGGCCCAAGCTGAAGAAGCCGTTTCTGCGGGGGGACACACAGGAGGCGAGAGAGAGGCTGCTGCTGGAAGTACTGCCGTACCCCAGATACGCTGGTATGTGTTGCATGGTGTAGGTGTTGCTTGGGGTAGGTCGTGCTTGTGAGTGTTGCTTGAAGTAGCCGTTTCTGCGGGGGAACTCAGAGGAGGCGAGAGAGAGGTTGCTGCTGGAAGTGCTGCCATACCCCAGATACGCCAGTGGGTGCTGTTGCAAGTGGGTGTTTCTTGGGGTCGGTGTTGCTTGGGGTCGGTATTGCTTGGGGTCGGTGTTGCTTGGGGTCGGTGTTGCTTGGGGTCGGTGTTGCTTGGGGTCGGTGTTGCTTGGGGTCGGTGTTGCTTGGGGTCGGTGTTTCTTCTTTCCCCCCTGGACATCTTAAACGATCCTCCCTCCTTAACATCCTAAGATGTGCAGATGTGCAGGTGCTGGTGGTTTTCGAGGGGTTCAACTCAAATCCCAACAGCCGCATTTATGTGGCCTTTGAGTCACTTCGTCCCAACCCTCCTCTGCAACCCTCCGTGCTGATGTGCGGGTGCTGGTGTTTTTTGGGGGGGTCAATTCCAGCAGCCCTCTTGACGCGCCCCCCTCAGTTGATGTACCATTCCTCAGTTGATGTACCATTCCTCAGTTGATGTACCATTCCTCAGTTGATGTACCATTCCTCAGTTGATGTACCATTCCTCAGTTGATGTACCATTCCTCAGTTGATGTACCATTCCTCAGTTGATGTACCATTCCTCAGTTGATGTACCATTCCTCAGTTGATGTACCATTCCTCAGTTGATGTACCATTCCTCAGTTGATGTACCATTCCTCAGTTGATGTACCATTCCTCAGTTGATGTACCATTCCTCAGTTGATGTACCATTCCTCAGTTGATGTACCATTCCTCAGTTGATGTACCATTCCTCAGTTGATGTACCATTTTTTTCCATTTATTTAACATTTCCTCAGTTGATGTACCATTCCTCAGTTGATGTACCATTCCTCAGTTGATGTACCATTCCTCAGTTGATGTACCATTCCTCAGTTGATGTACCATTCCTCAGTTGATGTACCATTCCTCAGTTGATGTACCATTCCTCAGTTGATGTACCATTCCTCAGTTGATGTACCATTCCTCAGTTGATGTACCATTCCTCAGTTGATGTACCATTCCTCAGTTGATGTACCATTCCTCAGTTGATGTACCATTCCTCAGTTGATGTACCATTCCTCAGTTGATGTACCATTCCTCAGTTGATGTACCATTCCCTCAGTTGATGTACCATTCCTCAGTTGATGTACCATTCCTCAGTTGATGTACCATTCCTCAGTTGATGTACCATTCCTCAGTTGATGTACCATTCCTCAGTTGATGTACCATTCCTCAGTTGATGTACCATTCCTCAGTTGATGTACCATTCCTCAGTTGATGTACCATTCCTCAGTTGATGTACCATTCCTCAGTTGATGTACCATTCCTCAGTTGATGTATGTACCATTCCTCAGTTGATGTACCATTCCTCAGTTGATGTACCATTCCTCAGTTGATGTACCATTCCTCAGTTGATGTACCATTCCTCAGTTGATGTACCATTCCTCAGTTGATGTACCATTCCTCAGTTGATGTACCATTCCTCAGTTGATGTACCATTCCTCAGTTGATGTACCATTCCTCAGTTGATGTACCATTCCTCAGTTGATGTACCATTCCTCAGTTGATGTACCATTCCTCAGTTGATGTACCATTCCTCAGTTGATGTACCATTCCTCAGTTGATGTACCATTCCTCAGTTGATGTACCATTCCTCAGTTGATGTACCATTCCTCAGTTGATGTACCATTCCTCAGTTGATGTACCATTCCTCAGTTGATGTACCATTCCTCAGTTGATGTACCATTCCTCAGTTGATGTACCATTCCTCAGTTGATGTACCATTCCTCAGTTGATGTACCATTCCTCAGTTGATGTACCATTCCTCAGTTGATGTACCATTCCTCAGTTGATGTACCATTCCTCAGTTGATGTACCATTCCTCAGTTGATGTACCATTCCTCAGTTGATGTACCATTCCTCAGTTGATGTACCATTCCTCAGTTGATGTACCATTCCTCAGTTGATGTACCATTCCTCAGTTGATGTACCATTCCTCAGTTGATGTACCATTCCTCAGTTGATGTACCATTCCTCAGTTGATGTACCATTCCTCAGTTGATGTACCATTCCTCAGTTGATGTACCATTCCTCAGTTGATGTACCATTCCTCAGTTGATGTACCATTCCTCAGTTGATGTACCATTCCTCAGTTGATGTACCATTCCTCAGTTGATGTACCATTCCTCAGTTGATGTACCATTCCTCAGTTGATGTACCATTCCTCAGTTGATGTACCATTCCTCAGTTGATGTACCATTCCTCAGTTGATGTACCATTCCTCAGTTGATGTACCATTCCTCAGTTGATGTACCATTCCTCAGTTGATGTACCATTCCTCAGTTGATGTACCATTCCTCAGTTGATGTACCATTCCTCAGTTGATGTACCATTCCTCAGTTGATGTACCATTCCTCAGTTGATGTACCATTCCTCAGTTGATGTACCATTCCTCAGTTGATGTACCATTCCTCAGTTGATGTACCATTCCTCAGTTGATGTACCATTCCTCAGTTGATGTACCATTCCTCAGTTGATGTACCATTCCTCAGTTGATGTACCATTCCTCAGTTGATGTACCATTCCTCAGTTGATGTACCATTCCTCAGTTGATGTACCATTCCTCAGTTGATGTACCATTCCTCAGTTGATGTACCATTCCTCAGTTGATGTACCATTCCTCAGTTGATGTACCATTCCTCAGTTGATGTACCATTCCTCAGTTGATGTACCATTCCTCAGTTGATGTACCATTCCTCAGTTGATGTACCATTCCTCAGTTGATGTACCATTCCTCAGTTGATGTACCATTCCTCAGTTGATGTACCATTCCTCAGTTGATGTACCATTCCTCAGTTGATGTACCATTCCTCAGTTGATGTACCATTCCTCAGTTGATGTACCATTCCTCAGTTGATGTACCATTCCTCAGTTGATGTACCATTCCTCAGTTGATGTACCATTCCTCAGTTGATGTACCATTCCTCAGTTGATGTACCATTCCTCAGTTGATGTACCATTCCTCAGTTGATGTACCATTCCTCAGTTGATGTACCATTCCTCAGTTGATGTACCATTCCTCAGTTGATGTACCATTCCTCAGTTGATGTACCATTCCTCAGTTGATGTACCATTCCTCAGTTGATGTACCATTCTCGTTTTTGTTACCATTCCTCAGTTGATGTACCATTCCTCAGTTGATGTACCATTCCTCAGTTGATGTACCATTCCTCAGTTGATGTACCATTCCTCAGTTGATGTACCATTCCTCAGTTGATGTACCATTCCTCAGTTGATGTACCATTCCTCAGTTGATGTACCATTCCTCAGTTGATTTTTTTTGTACCATTCCTCAGTTGATGTACCATTCCTCAGTTGATGTACCATTCCTCAGTTGATGTACCATTCCTCAGTTGATGTACCATTCCTCAGTTGATGTACCATTCCTCAGTTGATGTACCATTCCTCAGTTGATGTACCATTCCTCAGTTGATGTACCATTCCTCAGTTGATGTACCATTCCTCAGTTGATGTACCATTCCTCAGTTGATGTACCATTCCTCAGTTGATGTACCATTCCTCAGTTGATGTACCATTCCTCAGTTGATGTACCATTCCTCAGTTGATGTACCATTCCTCAGTTGATGTACCATTCCTCAGTTGATGTACCATTCCTCAGTTGATGTACCATTCCTCAGTTGATGTACCATTCCTCAGTTGATGTACCATTCCTCAGTTGATGTACCATTCCTCAGTTGATGTACCATTCCTCAGTTGATGTACCATTCCTCAGTTGATGTACCATTCCTCAGTTGATGTACCATTCCTCAGTTGATGTACCATTCCTCAGTTGATGTACCATTCCTCAGTTGATGTACCATTCCTCAGTTGATGTACCATTCCTCAGTTGATGTACCATTCCTCAGTTGATGTACCATTCCTCAGTTGATGTACCATTCCTCAGTTGATGTACCATTCCTCAGTTGATGTACCATTCCTCAGTTGATGTACCATTCCTCAGTTGATGTACCATTCCTCAGTTGATGTACCATTCCTCAGTTGATGTACCATTCCTCAGTTGATGTGATGTACCATTCCTCAGTTGATGTACCATTCCTCAGTTGATGTACCATTCCTCAGTTGATGTACCATTCCTCAGTTGATGTACCATTCCTCAGTTGATGTACCATTCCTCAGTTGATGTACCATTCCTCAGTTGATGTACCATTCCTCAGTTGATGTACCATTCCTCAGTTGATGTACCATTCCTCAGTTGATGTACCATTCCTCAGTTGATGTACCATTCCTCAGTTGATGTACCATTCCTCAGTTGATGTACCATTTCCTCAGTTGATAAAGTGCCACTCTTCCACTCCGCCGGTTATCCCCCTCTCCCCCCTCCACTCGTAGATGTGCGGGTGCTGGTAGTTTTCGACGGGTTCAATCCCAACAGCCCTGTTAATGACCGCGTCTCGTCGTATGGGTATGTATGTTCCTGTACTACCTAACGTGGGTATGTTAATGTATATTCCTGTATTCCCCAACATGGGTATGTGAATGTATATTCCTGATTTCCCTAATATGGGTATGCGAATGTATATTCCTGTATTCCCTAACATGGGTGTGCGAATGTATGTTCCCTAGCATGGACATGTCTCATGCCATCGCATATGTATGTGTATGTCTCGTGCCATCGCATATGTATGGGTATGTCTCGTGCCATCGCATATGTACGTATGGCTCTGTATTCCCTAGCATGGGCATGTTTCCGTGCTTGCATATGTCTCATGCCATCGCATCATTTCACATCACAAGCCATGCATTGCATTGCGTCATGCCCTTAGCCATTCCCAGTTTGCCTTCCGTGCTTGCTCACGCACCATGATCCACTCTGACTCTTGGTGCGTCGTGGTGCATGAGCACTGAGTAACAATTCCACTCCGACTCTTGACTTATGTAACTGGAATGGTTAGTGCTGGCTGGAACGGAACTGGAACTGTCTGATCCTTGCACACACACAATTGCTATTGTTAATCTTTATGTGGTGCTTCATTTGTTTTAAATTCTACATGTATACTCCATGCGATAACATCACCCATCTCCACTTGCTGTTCCCTGTGCTGGTGTGTCCCTTCTGCTGATGCGCCCTGTCTATATGCTGACGTGGCAGAGTGGACGTCGCATTCTCCAATGGCATCTCAGCAGACGAATGGATCGAGAGGGAGGTCAGTACAGTACACTAACCTGTAGGGTCAGTTTAGAAGGATAAATGCATGCGCATTTGATGAGCTTGTTACGTATTTAGTACAAAATTTAAGTTATATGCGCCCTTCACAAGCGATATGTTTCACCTCAGACTTGCTGTCAACGTACATTGAACTCATCCCTGCGCCCTTTTCATTCCTGCTCTTATTCTCATGAGTTGAATTGGTTTTTTTATAATTCTCGAAAACCAGTTTAAGACTTGCTGTCAACAGACGTTGACTTCCTTCCTGCGCCCTCCTCATTCCTGCTCTTATTCTCATTCTCCTTCTCCCCTCTCCCCCTCTCCCCATCTCACCACCAGGTATCCAATCTCGTGCAGCACCGCACTGCACCATACATCACCGTGGTCACTTCAGACGTTCCGCTGAAACTAGCTGTTCTCTCTAGGGTGAGCAGGTTACGGGGGCAAACGAGTATGGACAAGCAGCACAAGCCTCGAACCTTCAGTTTTGAGTTGACTCAGAACACGTTTATTATCACACAGGCTATGGGGTGGGGGTAGACGAGCAGGGGCAAGCAGCACAGGCCTCGAGCCTTCATTTGCTTCTCCCTCGCGATGCACTTATGTGGTCCATACATGCCCAGATCTAGATTGTTGTTCCGGCATTTATGGCTACGCTTGGTTGATTTTGTCGTCTAACCTAATACTACCGGCCTAATGCTTCTAGAGAGTCTTTCATTCCTCCCTACATACCAGTCCCGACCAAACCCCTTCCTCCGTACCACACTATTCATAGGAAGTTTCCAGCCAAGTTCTGCACATCTTTTCATACCTGACTTGCGCCTTCTCTCTGTGTGGGGCTGCTTTTTTAGTCGACTCAATATTCTCTCCGTGTGGGCCTGATTTTTTAGTCGGCTAAAAAAATATCTCTGTGTGGGCTTACCTGCAGGGTGGATACGTCAAGAGCTCAAACAATTTCATACAGGAGGTATGTTTTGCGGCTCTAGTTATTTATGTGACGTTTTCCCCTGGTTCTTATGTGACGGCAGCTTTAGGGTGCTCTGCAGCTTCCCCCATACTCGCCAATATCTTGACAAAACCAACATTGTAAAAGCTGAAATATTATCCTCAGAACACGAATTCTCTGCTCCGCCTCCCACGCTTCTCCTCACTACGTGATGTGTTGGCAGCTGAAGGATGCTCGTTGGGGCAAACCTATTTTGTAGGAGCTGAAAAATGCTCCTCAGGTTCTCATCAGGACACGATTTCTCTGCTCCGCCTCCCCCGCTTCCCCTCACTAAGTGATGTGATGGCAGCTGAAGTAGATGACTATTGAGTCGACTCAAAAATCATCACGAAATCTCTTGCCTCCCACTCTTCCCCTCAAAATGTGATGCAACGGCAGCTGAAGGATGCTCGGAGAGATCCAAACGAAGCGCTGCAGAGCACAGAGTATGTACTCCGCCCCCACCTTTCTGCTTTTGAGTTCACTAAAAGGCAGAGTACGTACTCCGCCCCCACCTTTGTCCCTCCGCCGTTTCCTCCCTCCCTCCCTTCGTATCTCGCTCCCGTAACTCCCCCTCAAAGCTCGTTTCTTGGCCCCCTCTCCCTTGTTCACTCATCTTCCTCTCGCCTCTCTGCTCTGTTGCTCTGTTGCTCTGTTGCTCTGTTGCTCTGTTGCTCTGTTGCTCTGTTGCTCTGTCGCTCTGTCGCTCTGTTGCTCTGTTGCTCTGTTGCTCTGTTGCTCTGTTGCCCTGTTGCTCTGTTGCTCTGTTGCTCTGTTGCTCTGTTGCTCTGTTGCTCTGTTGCTCTGTCGCTCTGTCGCTCTGTCGCTCTGTTGCTCTGTCGCTCTGTCGCTCTGTTGCTCTGTTGCTCTGTTGCTCTGTTGCTCTGTTGCTCTGTTGCTCTGTTGCTCTTTTGCTCTGTTGCTCTGTTGCTCTGTTGCTCTGTTGCTCTGTTGCTCTGTTGCTCTGTTGCTCTGTTGCTCTGTTGCTCTGTTGATCTGTTGCTCTTTTGCTCTGTTGCTCTGTTGCTCTGTTGCTCTGTTGCTCTGTTGCTCTGTTGCTCTTTTGCTCTGTTGCTCTTTTGCTCTGTTGCCTTTCCCGCTTTTCTCTATTAGAGGCTCGGCCCCCTCAGGAGACTCTTCAAAGCACTCGCTTTCCCCCTTCCCTTTTCACGCTTCCCTTACTTTCCCTTCTCACCCTCCAGCACCTACAAACGCTTTTGAGTCGACTCAAAAGCACCCTCCAGCACCTACAAACGCTTTTGAGTCGACTCAAAAGCACCCTCCAGCACCTACAAACGCTTTTGAGTCGACTCAAAAGCACCCAATGGCACCTACAAGTGCAGTCTGTTGGAGCATCAGCTGCCACGCCTCGAGACCACTGCATCTCTGCCTCTCCCTCGTGTGTTTTGAGTCGACTCAAAACACTCCCTCCCCTGCCTCTGACTCACTCCTTCGTCCTCGCCTCGTCTCCCTCTGACACCCTCCAGCACCTACAAGCGCAGTCTGTTGGAGCATCAGCTGCCTCAGGAGACTCTTCAGGGGCTTTTGGCCATGCGACGATCGGCAGCAGAAGCTGACCCCTACTACCTCGAGTATATTGTGAGTAATAACCCTGGCATTTTGGGTACGTGTTGAGTATTTACTCTGCTATAAGCTACCTCAAGAGACTCTTCAGGGGTTTCTGGCTATGCGACAAGCAGTAGAAGAAGATGGCCCCTACTACCTCGAGTACATACATTGTGAGTCATCGCCATCTTGGGAGAATCTTGAGTAATAGCATCTCTATCCTGATTATACCGTGAGGGAAAACCCTACTACCCAGGGTACAACATGAGTAATCGCCCGATTTTATCTGTTATGATTTTGAGGAATATTGTTGTATACTGATATTATCCTATTTCTGGTAATGCTACATTGTGAACTCCGTCAATGCAGATTAGGCCATGCTACAAGTGACAGTTAGCTCAGTTCACGCTCAGTTTGCTTGCTTCTTCTTGTGTTCCATGCTTGGTTTCTTCTTCTTCTTTTTTCCCAGGTGGACTTTGAGAGCAGTTTTTCTGGCACCTAAGCCACTCTGTGCCGTGCTGTTTGCTCCTTGTCATTCCTTATGTATGTACATTTCAGGTGAAGTATGACGGCACCTCATCACACACCGCTCCCTCCTCTCCTTCCTCCTCCCCCTCCTCCTCTCCCGTCAACAGCCCCCGTTCTTCCTCCTCACAAGCCTCCAGTCACAGCAGTTCACCCAACGCTTCCACACATGCAACCACACACAAGCCTGCCACTGCAGGCAAGCGCAACCACAGCAATCACAGCAGTCACAGCACAGCACCAGAGGCGTCCCTGCATCCCCTGAGTCTCCGATCGCAGCTGCAGGCCCAGCTGGCCACACAAGGGGCAGAAGAAGCTGGCAGTTCTCCTCCGCTTTCAGCAGCTTCTGGAAAACCAGTGGATAATAGTAGAGACAGCAACCGTAATGGTAGTATTGATTTTTTTTCCGATGGTCGGAGCAGTGGAACCAGCAGCAGCAGCAGCCAAGGGGGAGAAGGTGCTGCAAATGGCAGCGGAAATGAAGGAAACGGTGCCAGCCATAAGCTCGTCCAGAGTGCACGAGACCAGCAGCTGCTGCACCATCACAGGAAAAAGCAGCCGAAGCAGAATAAACACAAGCGAAATCAGATTCCACTCCAAGAATTGACAGGTTCAGACAAAGATCAGCGGGAAGATCACTACAACAATCAAGGGTTGCAGGAGATGCAGAAGCAGAAGCGGCAACAGGGGCACATAAAGCAAGGGAACGATGGACCAGACTCTCAGGGGTTTTCTGGCACCCTTGGTAGCAGTGAAACCAGCCGTGCTCTCGTTGCTCTGAAGAAGCAGTTACAAGAGCAACAACGGCAGGATAGGCAACAAGGTCGAAGAAGATAGCTCCTTGTACCGCAGACATATGGCACAGTGAAGTGACGACTTGCATTCACATTTGCCTTCATGTGGCTTTGTAAAAATTGAGCAGCCTAGGTTCACCAGGCCACTCAATTCCATTCAACGTATTGCTTGGTCAGATGTGCCGAGCCATAAAACTACTACCGGTACCTAGGTTTCTTGTGGATACTTTCGCTTTGGCTCTCTAGCACATGTCCGATCGCAGTAGGTATAATAACGTAAACTATATTGAGATGATTGTTGACGAGGAATTACTGCCCAGAGAGAGCATCTGACATGCGGCGATGGGGTTGCCAGCTCAATCCCACACAGCTGTTGTATGCCTGGTTGGGGAAGATTGGGGTCCGCTTTCCGCAGTTCGCCACCGCACAAACCTCGCCATGCTGGCTGGCGGAAGTGACCCAGATGGTCGGGACACACATTCGACTGACGTGTCGTGGCACATACTTTTCAGATCCCCTGGCTGCTGACGCGGATAGAATCTTTCTCGGCCCGACCTGCCACGACGGCAGGCATTCGTGTGGGCCACATGCGCGCAGATTGGAAGGGAAGGGCTACAGTTCGCCTTCGCCACGTGGGCCGCGTGACCCTCAAATGTTGCCTGAAAGGCCGCGCCTCCAGGCCTCGGACTGGCGAACGACAATCCCAAGGGTCCTCGCTGTCCTTCAGTTTCGCAGAAGAATCTGCCGTTCCCGCCTGCAGTTCTCCGCTTCTCCTGCCCTTTTCCGCCGCTGCAGCTGCTGCTCGGCTTGCTCTGCCTGGTCTGTCTGCTCTGGCTGCTGCGTCTGCTGCTGCTGCGCCTCTCCTGCCGTGCTCCCTTCCTTGGAGCCTCACCCAACCCAACCCTTAGACTGAATTCTGGGAAGCCATGGTTATTGTTGCTCAGATTGCTACCAGTGCAAGCTCGACTTGCGCCTCTTCTCTGCTTCAGTCCAGCGTCAAGCAGACACTTAAATCCAGCGTCGCGTTCCTGTCGTCGGGAGCGAAGCTGCTTGCATCCCCCCGCACGAGCCATCTCTCCAGGTGGGTCTGGTGGGATTCGTTTTCGAGTGAGAGAAGAGAACGAATCTCAACGAGCGAAGAAGCTAAAATTCGCGCACTCGAGCTATCTTTCCAGGTGGGTCGAGCGCTCTGCATTATCTCCAGATTCGCATTCTAGGTCCGGAATGATCATGAACCCACGTGGGTTCCGTATCGTTCCCGAGTCGACCATTGGAAGTTGCACCGGTAATAGTGCGTCGTACACCGCTGCCAGTCATCCAGTTTTGAAATCTAAAGAGAAGCTGAAGATTCGTTTTGCCGTTCACCCGCAGCAAATAAGAGCAAATGACCTACATTCTAGGGCCAGATATATGTTGCTGTTTCTTGGTTTGCCGCCCGACATCATCATATCGCATCTGACCACATTCTGCTCGTTCAATCTAGCCTTCGGGATGGTACGAAAATATCATACTGAAATATATATTAAAAAGTTGCGCATTTTGTCTCCCCTCGTCCTTCTTCGCAGGTTGCCAGCGAAGCTCGACCGAAGCCAGATCTCAGTCCGAGCGAGCTCAAACTCCCCCAAGCCTACCATGGTACGCTGTCACTTCGTCCTAGAGATTCCAGCTCTTTTATTCTTTTGCGACCAAGCAGCTTCGATTCTCGACGCAGCCAGAATGCGGGAATCGTGCGGACGTTCTCACCGGGTTCGCATTCACGTCCACTTCTTCTTTCTTACTCCATTTTCTGATCCTCGCTGTTTCGTCCCCTCCTTCCCGTGCAGGCCGCCACTGCCACTCAGACGAAGGCGCTCATCAGCGAGTCATTGGTTTTCCTCAACTTTTCTTACCCGTCTACCCTGTCTTCTCCAACTTCCCGTGCAGGCCGCCACTGCCACCCAGACGAAGGCGCTCATCAGCGAGTCTGCTGCATGGGGCGACCTCAAGGTCCGCTCCTGTCTCTGTAACTCGCCTTAAGATCCGTGGCACGGCGTAAACCAGGTCTCTCTAGCTCTGACTTTTGAGTCGACTCCAAGTCACCTTTTCTCTCTAACTCGCCTTAAGATCCGTGGCACGGCGTTAGCTAGGTCTCTCTATCTCTCCTTAATTACGCCTCTCCACGGCTTTCAGCTTGTCTCGGTAGACAAATGATGATGTCGTGACGGCTAGAGGTAACGCCGCTGGTCGGAGAACGCTTAAAATCGAGACCGTTTCTGGTTGTAGTTACTAAGAACGACGATATGGTATTTCGACTGAGGGAGCTACCTCCAGCAAGAATACGCCGATAGTCTTGACCCCGTCGGTGCTTCTCCGTTCTGATCGTCGGCTGGTACTTCGGCTGGTACTTCGGATGGGCAGTCGGAGGCGAGTTAGAAGCAAAAGGGTTCCAGACGCAGCTTCAACATTTACTCTGTAGGTGATTTTCGAGTCGACTGAAAAATCACCGACTCAAGAGTCGACTAAAAAATCACCTACTACAAAAGGATTCCTGTCGCAGCTTCAACGTTTTTTCTGCGTTTGAGACGCCTTTGAAGTCGTTAACTGGTCTACTTGATATGCTACACAGATCTTAAGTTCCGCTGGAGAGCCGATAGAGCGACGCAGCTGATTCTTAGAATCCTAAAAATGTAGCTCATGCGTCACGGTGTAGTCAGTGTTACGGATTCGGACCAGCGCAATTGCGACGGCGACAGTAGCTGCAGCTCAATAGCTCGCCGGCTCGTTTGGAGGCATCTGTTGACTTTCACGCGGATACGACCGATATTAAAACACTACACGCACTCTCAATTAAAGCTTTGTCTTCGCATAGTCCACCTATCCCAGTCAGCTCAGCTTCCTTATTTACACATCTGCACCACCTTTTTCCGCCTCATTTCCTCTGCATGTACATATCCTCTTTTCGTACACTCCCAACGCTTGAACAGTCTTTCATTCAACCGTTCACTCACCCTAGTCACCTTCCTGCCTTCATCTGTCACCTTAGCCACAATCACGCCCGCTAGCTAGGAGCGCTCTGGTATGGCCGGAGCCTTCAGATGCCATCTTAGGCCAGTGTGGCTCCGGCCGCACTCCCTTACAGCGCATTCCGCGCTCACACCCGTCAGGCGCTCAACAACAGCCACCTGCGGGACGACTCCCCCCTTCCTTCCTCCACTTCAGTTGGCTCACTAAGCGTGCCTTTCTGCTGCCTCGCATCGCGCTCACACCACCCCACATGCGCACAAGGAGGCTTCTGAGTTCCCCTCTTTCCGCTTCAACTCCTGTTCGCACGCATCGGCTCGTGTCTGCTTCCTCGTGTTCCCCGCACACCCCCCAGGCGCACAAGGAGGCCATTGACCAGACTCACCTGCGCGATCTACTCACAGACGAGGCTCGCTGTACTGCCATGATCAAGTAAGCTGCTGGTAGCTTGTGTGCTAGTGCTATTTTTGAGGCGCCTCAAAAAAAGTGCTATAGCTTCTGGTCTGAGCGGTTCAGACACCCGTTAGACGTTTACTTTTTTTTCTCCTCTGACCCGGGTACTGCCAGCTTATGAGCTTTGCTCGCCAGTGCCGTAACCTCTCTCCATTATCTGTTCATCCTTTGACGTGCTTCTCCACTCCTCTTATTTCTCCCCTCTCCTCCCCCTGTTCCCTTTTCCTGCTTCCTGCGAATCGCTCTATAGGGAGTACGATGGCATTCTGGTTGATTTCTCCAGGCAGAGGGCCACCACTGAGACCCTCCCAAAGCTGCTGGCTCTTGCAGAAGTGAGTTATTGTTCGTCGCTCTTGTGGAGGTACTTCAATGTTGGGAGATCTCAAAACCACTGAGACCGTCCCAAAGCTGCTGGCTCTTGCGGAAGTGAGTTATAGCGCGTAGCTCTTGTGGAGGTACCTTCAGAGATACTTCATTCAATCTTGAGGGATTTCAAAACCATTGAGACCGTCCCAAAGCTGCTGGTCCTTGTTGAGATAGGAGCGTCTAGAGTCCCCAAGAGCTTGGATAACCTTGCCGTTTCTCTTTGCGCCTCTTTGTTCTTCTGTTGTGTTTCTTCCGTTTCCTGTGCGTATGTCTTCGTGCGCGTGTGCGTTTGTGCGTCACTCTCTGCTTTCACGCATGCATGTGCGGATCCGTGCGTGCGCGTGCGCGTGCGCAAATGTTTGATTGCATCTGATTTCGTCTTATACGTCCCATACTTACGTGGTACCCCTTGCCATTGCCCTTGTTATTGTCAACACCGCCCATCCGCGAGTGCAGGAGGCGAAGCTCAAGGAGAAGATCGATGCCATGTTCAATGGCGAGCATGTGAGTCTCCCTAGGGCACTATCTCCCCAGGGCACTATCTCCTTAGGGCACTATCTCCCTAGAGCACTGTCTCTTTACGGACTCACGCATGCTGTTGTGAGTTGTAGTGGTCTGATTCGGTTCGGAGGTTCCACATAGGGCATAGCTAGCTGTCTCCTTGCAATGCCAGTTGCAGTTTCTCGTTCGCGGATAAGATGTTCCAGTTCCTGTTCTTTTTCGCCTTCTACCACTGGATCGTTGGCCTTCGAACCAGTTTTTGAGCCGACTCAAGAATAGACTCATTACTCATGGATCGTTGGCCTTCGGGCCAGCTGCTCGTGCCATCCGAATCGAGCTTGATTCATTCTCTTCCTCCATGCCCCTCCTGCGGCTGCTCTCGCCTCTCTTCCTTCTCATCTCCTGCCTTTGTGCTTTTCCCCTCTCCCCACTCTCCTCCGCCTCTCCCCGTAGATCAACTCCACTGAGAATCGTGCTGTCCTTCACGTGGCACTCCGCGCTCCCTTGCCACCGCCCTAACCACGCTTCCTCATCTTCTGCCTTTTCTTTCCGCTCTTCTTCCCCACTCTCCTCCGCCTCTCCCGCAGATCAACTCCACTGAGAACCGCGCTGTCCTTCACGTGGCTCTCCGCGCTCCTCGTGACGCAGTGAGTACCACTTCTCGTGTGCCCAGCAACTGCTGGTGTGTAGGAGAAGGATCCATTAGAGCCCTTGAGAGGTTAACAGAGGAAGAATCAGCTCCACTGAGAACCGCGCCGTGTTTCACTTGGCTCTCTGGCTCTTTGCACCCCCCGTGACGCCGTGAGTACCGTTTCTCGCGTGCCAACAACCTCTATTGAGCCCTTGCCAGTTTTTTAAAGGGAGAAGCGAGGTGGACGGCGAGAATCTGGTCCCTGAAACGAGGTGACGTCGGAGTCCGACTCAAAAGCCACCTCGTTTGTATGGGAGACGCAAGGTGTGGGAATCTGGTCCCTGAAACGAGGTGACGTCGGAGTCCGACTCAAAAGCCACCTCGTTTGTATGGGAGACGCAAGGTGTGGGAATCTAGTCCCTGACGTGTGGGACGAGCTCTGCTGACCCCTGCGTCAACTCAAAAGTAAGCTCAAGCCCCCCAATATCGTTCTTCTACTCCCGAAGACCATCAAAGGTGGACGGCAAGAGCGTGTTGCGTGACATGTGGGAGGTACGATATAGGCCAACATCGAAGTAACTCAACCCGTTTCCCCTCTCCGTGTTATTCCCCCCTCCCCCCCCCCCCCCCCCCCTCAGACCATCATGGTGGATGGCAAGAACGTGGTGCCGGACGTGTGGGACGTGCTGGACAAGATCAAGGCGTTCTCAGACACCGTGCGGTCAGGCAAATGGGTGAGTGGAGGCAGCAGTTTTGAGGCGCCTCAAATAGGTGAGTGGAGGCAGCAGTTTTGAGGCGCCTCAAATGGGTGAGTGGAGGCAGCAGTTTTGAGGCGCCTCAAATGGGTGAGTGGAGGCAGCAGTTTTGAGGCGCCTCAAATGGGTGAGTGGAGGCAGCAGCGAGGGAATCTAGGGGAAGGGATGGATGCGGGGGAAGCAAAGGGGTGATTGTGCGTCGGGCATGGTGCTGGGCAAGATCAAGGCGTTCACAGGCCCCGTGCGGTCAGGGAAATGTGTGAGTGGAGGCAGGATCTGGGTGTTTGGAGGCAGGGGTGAGGGAACGCAGGCAAATGGGTGAGTGCTTGTAGCGCCATGGTAGGGAGCGGCGAAGTGTGATGGCAGCTGACGTGCGGGAGCTGCTGGATAAGATTAAGGCGTTCTCAGTCACCGTTTCGTCAGGGAAATGGGTGAGTGAATGGCGGGTAGCAGGCGAATGCACTCGGGCACATAGGTGAGTGTGTGGGTAGGGCCATGAAGTCTGACGTGTGGGAGGTGCTGCACAAGACCGAGGCGTTCACGGACACGGTGTGGTCAGCGAAATGCGTGAGTTGATTAAGGGTTGGGGTTTGACTTGCGAAGCAGCTTCGAGGCCTCTCTATTTGTGCACACAGCGCGCACCTCTCTCCATGCAGCCTTCCACCCACTCCCTTGCCCCACGAGGAGTCTATTTTTGAGGCGCCTCAAAAACAGACTTCGACCCACTCCCTTGCCCCACGAGCCTCGCAGCTGGGCGCTACAGGCAAGCCTGCCACCGACTGGTTGCCTGTGGAATTGGTTGCTCTTGAGTAAATTCACAGTTTACTCCCCACTCTTAGCCCATCCCACCTCCTTCCCACGGGCCTCACGGCTTAGCGCCACAGGCAAGCTTCTAAGCGACCTGGTCGCCATTGGCATTGGTGGCTCTTGAGTGCACTCAGAGATTACTCCCCACTCTTCGCCCCTCCCGTCTCCTCCCCACGCGCCTTACAGCTTGGCGCCACAGGCAAGCCTCTGACGGACGTGGTTGCCATTGGCATCGGAGGAAGCTTCTTGGGGCCTCTCTTTGTGCACACCGCTCTCCAAACAGGTTCGTTGGCTTTGGCCTCTGGCCCCTAGGTCTGCGGGCTGATCTTAATGTGTTGCCTTAGGTAGCTTCCTGGGGCTTCTCTCTCTGCGCACCGCTGTCCAAACAGGTGGGTCGGCTCGGCCTCTGCCCCCTACAACCCAGATTCAAGGGTTAGCCATGGGACTGTCTGGCGGACTGAGGCTAAAAACAGAGAGGAGGGGTGTTATGGAATTGTGGCTGGGAGAAGGAGAGGGATCACCTTGCAATCATGTGTTATGCGCCGTATTTCAGTATCGACTCTTGACTCCCTCCACTCCCTGCTAGGGCTGCCCGCCCCTACTTTTCCAACCCTCCATCGTCTCGTTTCCACCATATACCGCTTATTTTCTGTCTGTCTCCTGGTCTATCTGTGTGTGGATCAGACCCAAGCTCTGCCAAGGCAGCAGACGGCCGCAGCTTGCGATTGTAAGTTTTGGCATCCACTCGGCTCCACCCTCTCCACCCTAATTCTATTAAATTCGCCCGTCGTGCCTGGTGGAATCGCAAGGTTCTTGTCCGCGTTCTTTACATTCCTTCATTCTCAGTGCGCTCGATCCATCCCGTGCCTTGCCCTTGCCCCCCATGTCTGCTCACATATATTTGGCCCGTGTCGCTGCATGTGTATGTCCACTGCCACCCCCCAATCAACCTTCCCACCGTTGTCCTCCCTCATTTCGAGGTGACTTTTGAGTCGACTCAAAAGTCACTGCCACCCCCCCACCAACCTTCCCACCGTTGTCCTCCCTCATTTCTACCTTCCACCAGCCTGACCAACGTCTACCCCAGTGGTGTGTTTTCTTAACACCCTTTTCTGCCCTCTCTGCGTGTCTCTTGTCTCTGCCCCCGCATGTTCGTCCTCATCCCGTGCCGCTTCCTTCCACCAGCCTGTCCAACGTTGACCCCATCGATGTCGCCACAGCTCTCCATGGCCTCGACCAGGAGACCACCCTCGGTACGTACATACACAACCCATGCCATCCTTAATACCAGAAGAAGGCTCTTTCCATCCAAGGTTATTCTTCTCTCAATGCATCCCTCATACAACCTCTTTTCATCCCTGGTTCCTCCTAAGGCGCCTAAACCATTCTGACCCCATTGACGTTGCCACAGCCCACTCATGGCTTCGACCAGTTATACACACCTCACTGTTTACCAGTAATCTCGTGTCTTTAGCCCATTCCGTGCCTCGCACTAGATTCAGCAGGAATCGTCCATGCCATGCCATGCCATGCGCACCAGAACTCGTCCCTCTTCCTGCTGCCTTTTGATTGCCCACCTATTCCCCCTTCCCTTCTCTTCCCCCCTGCCAGTGGCGGTGGTGTCCAAGACGTTCACGACAGCACAGACCATGCTCAATGCGCGCACAGTGATCTCCGATCCGTTGCACATGCATCACCCATCCCTAAGCTCCATGTCTCGTCCCCAATTCCCTCCCAGTGGTGGTAGTGCCAAAGACGTTCACCACAGCTGAGACATCTCGGAATGCCCACCCACCCATACCCCCTTTCCTGACTGCCCCCCCGTCTCTCCTCCCCCTGCCAGTGGTGGTGGTGTCCAAGACCTTCACCACAGCAGAGACCATGCTGAACGCTCGCACCGTGCGCACGTGGATCACATCCGCCCTGGGGTGAGCTTTTGAAAAGGCGCTGGGGCGTGTGATGAGCTGATGTGTGTAGGCAATGGTCCACTGCGGTAATGCTGGATGTGCATGCATCCCCCCCCTGTGATATTCAGTCGGACCTGTGCAATTTCCAAGTCGACTGCCATCCACCTCTTGGTCTATCTCGCTCATAACGTCCCCCCCGCCCCTCCCCAACCCCCTGCCCCCCCTCCTCTCCGTTTCAGTGAGGGTGCGGCAGCAAAGCAGTCAGTTCCAACCTGGTGGTAGATTGGTACCTTTGGTACGTTTTCACCTCAAGTTCTCTCCATCTCTCTCCCGCACCCTCCCACCCGTCTGCTGTTGCAGTGAGGACGCAGTGGCTAAGCACATGGTGGCAGTCAGCACCAACCTCAAGGTAGAGCCTCCTTGCCCTCTGGTACCTGGAGAACCCCTTCGACACTCTGTCAACCCCCTTTTTGGGGTTCTCCCTGAAAAACCTCATGCCACCTCACGCTTTCCCGTCACTTGTCTCTCGACTCAACCTTCCCTTGCACCCCCATTCCCTTGTGTGCTCAACAAGGGCGCGAATTTCTATCATTTCTCCCCCCCCTCCCCCAAGTAACCCTGCCTCACCTCCCTCCCCTTCCCTCTCCACCCCTTTCCTTCCGCCTTGTATCCGACCATCAGCTTGTCAAGGAGTTTGGCATTGACCCAGCGAATGCCTTTGCCTTCTGGGACTGGGTTGGCGGCCGCTACAGTGGTACGCTCTGCTTGCTCTCTCCTTGCTCTCTCCTTGCCCGGTTTGCTTTATCTGAGAGGGGGCATAGAGGCCTCAAGTCTGTGCACACTTGTTCCTGCTTACGTGATGGGGTATTGGTGCAGGCTTTTGTTTAGGCTCTAACTGTTCTGCCACCAACTCCCTCCCCCCCCCCTTCTCCCCATCCCGTTCCTCCATACCTCTGTATGTACAGTCACCAGTGCTGTCGGTGTGCTCCCCCTCGCCCTGCAATACGGCTTTGAGCACGTGCACAAGTGAGTCGCTTCTTAGTTTTGCGACATCCCAGAACTATTTTTCTAGCACTCGTGCACAAGTCAGTCCCTTCTTCCTCAACCCCAAACCGGAACCCAAGTCCCAACCCCAAACCATAGACCTACCTGACTCCTACTCCAGGTGTGCTCTGCCTCGCCCTAAACCCCTGTAGTAGTGCTCCCCCTCGCCCTGAAATGCATCTTTGAGCACGTGCAAAAGCGACTCGTTTTTTCCAAACTCCCTAATTGGAGATCTCTTACCATTGTGCCGGAATTCTCATATCCTTACTCGACGTGCTTCCTCTCGGTCTTGCAATAAGCCCCAACCTTAAACCTTCAAATCGTAGCTGGGTTTAATCCCTCGGTGCATGCAGTACAACTTCCCTGATGCGCGTCTTTATCTCTTCCCCCACCTTTCCCACCCCCCCTTTCTCCTCCTCCAGGGTGGATGAAGTATGGATACCCATTTTTCAGACGTGGCACTATTCTCAATTTTTTATCCACTCTTAAAACACCCTATCTTACCTTCTCCCTCCTCCCCCTCTTTCTCTCCCTGCAGGTTCCTCAAGGGTGCATGGAGCGTAGATACCCATTTCCACACCACTCCCTTCGAATCCAACCTCCCTGTACGTTCGTACACCCTTCTTTTGGCTGGGTGTAACCACATGCGCTTCTGCATGTAACCGCATCCCCTTGACATGCCGCCATTTCCTCTCACATCAATCAATCAATCCTTCCTCCGACTTCCCTCACACCCACTCTAAGCCTCCTGCTTTGCATCAGAGTCTCAAACCGTATTTCGCTGTCCTCCTATGCACCTTACCTCCACCCTTCAACATCTTGTGCTCTCCCCTCTTGTCCTCTTCAGCAACCTGCTTACCTTGCCCCCTGTCTTTGCGTCATGGCCTGTGTCTTGTCATTCAGTTTTGAGACATCTCAAAACTAAACGGCTTAACCATGCCTGTGTCTTGTCGATCATCTCGTGTCCTTGGCAGGTGCTCCTGGGGCTCATCAGCATCTGGAACGTCTCCTTCTTTGGCAACCCTGCTCGGGTGCGTCTTTCTTGTCAAACATGTCGAAGGCTTAACAGCAGCTATTTTGAGTCGCCACATCTAAGCCTTCAGATCGTAGGCGACTCAAAATAGCTGCTGCCTCTGATCCTGCTTGCCCCTCTCTTTGTGGAAGAAATGCCGAGTCTACACAGTGGACAGCTCCTTGACTTGAACTCATTTCACATGCCGTCTCTACCATGTGTCACCCCGCAGTCAGTGTGGGATCCTTCTCACCCACATGCTATTACTCCCCGCATGCTTTCCCCCCCACATGCCATCTCTCTCCCATGCATCCAGGCTATTCTGCCTTACTGCCAAGCCCTCCAGAAGTTGGCTCCTCACATTCAGCAAGTAAGGCTTCGCTGGTTACTCGCCTTGTGTGCTAGTGTAGTTATGTGTTGTGCGCTGGAAATTGTAAGGTGGCTAGGACGTTGGACTGTTCTTCCCTGTGTGTCGCTCTTGCCAGTCAGTCACCCCTGTGAGTCGCTCTTGCCAGTCAGTCACCCCTGTGTGTCGCTCTTGCCAGTCAGCCACCCCTGTGTGTCGCTCTTGCCAGTCAGTCACCCCTGTGTGTTTGCACGTGTGACTAAGTGAGTGTGTGATCTGCAGGTGGGTCAACAGATGGGGAGGTGCTCCCATAAGAGTGCCAGCTTTCTTTGAGGTACCTTTAAACTGCCTTCCCCCCCCCCCCCCCCCCCCCCGGTCGCTCTCACACACTCTCTTTCTCCCTCTCTGCAGGTGAGCAGCATGGAGAGCAACGGCAAGGGCGTGTCGATAGACGGGGAGGTGCTCCCATATGAGTGCGGGGAGATTGACTTTGGCAAGCCGGGCACCAACTTAACTCTGTTTCCCCCTTCGCCCTCCTCCTACACTGTATATGTGTTTGTGTGTGTGTTTGTGTGGCTATCTGCAGGTGAGCATGGAGAGCAACGGCAAGGGAGTGTCGATAGATGGGGAGGTGCTCCCATATGAGTGTGGGGAGATCGACTTTGGCGAGCCGGGCACCAACGGGCAGCACTCGTTCTACCAGCTCATCCACCAGGGGAGGGTGGTGCCGTGCGACTTCATCGGCATCATCAAGAGCCAGCAGTCCGTGTACCTCAAGGGTGGGTTGTATGAGGTGTAGTGACTTGATGCTCGGTTCAGTTATTCTGATTGAACAGGAAGCACCTAGCGCAGGTTAGAGTGTGTGTGGCATCATGGTTGGGTTCAGTCAAAGGAAGGGGGTTCAGTCGCCAGAAGGGTAGCACTCATTTGGTGCTGAACCTCCACCCTCGGCAGAAGGTTCAGCAGAATTCTAAAAAAACTCAAGGTTCCCTGCAGAAGGGTATCTTCAAGGGGGTTCACCAGAAGGGTATCTTCAAGGGGTTTCACCAGAAGGGTATCTTCAAGGGGGTTCAGCAGAAGGGTATCTTCAAGGCTCCCTGCGATAGGTTTTTGAGAAATTTCAAAAAATTATCACAGTCAAGGTTCCCTCCGCCCGCTGCGCCTTGGTTCCAAAATGGGGTTCGCTCATGCCTCGTGTGCCCCTATTTCCCAGCTCTCAAAATTTTGTTCTATGCGGTGCTGTGTGGTTCCATGTGGTGCTGTGTCCTGTCCAGGCGAGATCGTGAGCAACCATGACGAGCTCATGTGCAACTTCTTCGCCCAGGCTGATGCTCTCGCCTATGGCAAGGTATGGATAACATGGAGTAAGGGATGGCCTATGGCTAGGTATGGATGGTCTGTGGCTAGGTATGGATGGCCTATGGCTAGGTATGGATGGCCTATGGCTAGGTATGGATGGCCTATGGCAAGGTATGGATGGCCTATGGCTAGGTATGGATGGCCTATGGCTAGGTATGGATGGCCTATGTCCAGGTATGGATGGCCTATGGCTAGGTGTGGATGGCCTATGGCTAGGTATGGATGGCCTATGGCTAGGTGTGGATGGCCTATGGCTAGGTATGGATGGCCTATGGCTAGGTATGGATGGCATGGGGTAAGTTTGTGGGTGACTTGGGGTTAAGTATGAATGGCATTGGTTTATGTATGGCCTATGGCAAGCTATGGTGTCTGGCAAGGAACAGTATACGGAAGGTATGGCACGTATGGCAGGCGCATGTTGCAAGTATGGCTAAGGCTGGGCGTACAAGGCTATGCTTGTCGAACTGATGCTTCTCTTCATCGCACTCATCCTAGGACTTTCTGTGGCACAGGTTACTACTTTGTTAACCGCCTCTTGTTAGTTACTTCCTCTCTTCCCCTCCCTCCCCCCTTGCTCCCCCCCATCTCTCTCCCCCCTTCCTGCTCCGCCCATCTCCCTCCCCCCTTCCTGCTCCGCCCATCTCCCTCCCCCCTTCCTGCTCCGCCCACCTCCCTCCCCCTTTCCTGCTCTGCCCATCTCCCTCCCCCCTTCCGCCCACCCCATCTCCCTCCCCCCCTTCCGGCTCCCCCCATCTCCCTCCCCGCTTCCCTCCACAGACCCCTGAAGAGCTACGTGCAGAGGGTGTGTCTGAGGCCCTCATTCCACACAAGGTACAGCCAGCTCCTTCCTCCAGGCTCCCCTCTCCACCAGTTTCCCCTCTCCTCCCGTTTCTCCTCCGGTCCCTCCTCGCACGAGGTACGAAACCCCTCCAACAGGTTCCTCTCACCTTTTGTTTACCCGCTCTCCCCGTTCCTCCCGTCCCTCCTCGCATTCTCCTTTAGTGCTCCTCAGTAAGAAGAAGTGCCTGACTACTCCCCCTACCCCCTCTATTCCCTGCCCCGTTTATTTTTGAGGCGCCTAAAAAATCTACTCCCCCTACCCCCTCTATTCCCTGCCCCGTTTATCTTCCCCATCTGTTCCCACCCTCTCTCTGTCCTCCAGACCTTCACTGGCAACAGGCCTTCTCTCAGCATCCTGCTACCATCACTCACTCCCTACACAGTGGGGCAGGTGAGAGACTCTCTAATCTTACCCTCATACACAGTGGGGCAGGTGAGAGACCCTCTAATCTTACTCTCATACACAGTGGGGCAGGTGAGAGGCTCTCTAAGCTTACTCTCATACACAGTGGGTGGGGCAGGTGAGAGACTCTCTAAGCTTACTCTCATACACAGTGGGGCAGGTAGAAGACTCTTTCAGCTCACACTCTACACTCTGGGGGGAAGGTAAAAAACGCTTTTGGCTCACACTCCGTAAATTGGGGCCGATAAGATAATTCCCAAGCTCTGTACAGCAGGTAAACATGCGAGGAAAACTCGCCTCGGAATTCCGAGTTTTGAGGGGAGTTTTTTACTGGAAAATCCTTGGCCAGGATTCCTCTCGTCGCCTCTACGAGATTTCGAGGACTCGAGTTTTCCTCGGGGTTTTTGGGCGAGGATTTTTTTTCCTTGCAAGGTTTTTAAGAAACAAATGCATTGGAATTGTAGCTTTGTTCATAAGGAACAAGTTCGACGTTTCCTCGCCACGCGTCGTTTGAGGCACGAGGAGAAAACCTCAGGGTGTGGAATCCTCGGCTCGCCCCGTGCCCATGTCTAACAGCAGGGCAGTCAGACTGAGGAAACAGAAGGTAGTGCAAGTTGCTTTTCTAACCGTTTTGGCTCTCTCTTGTCGCCTACCGCATTTTGTAGGGTGTTTTTGAGCATTCTGAAAAACACTCTTGTCGCCATCCGCACCTCCATCGCTTTCGCCCCTTTTCTCTCCTCTCCCCCGCTCTCCCTCGCTCCCTCCCTCCCTCCTCTTCCCCATCATCAGCTCCTGTCGCTGTACGAGAACAGGGTGGCGGTGCAGGGCTTCGTGTGGGGCATCAACTCGTTCGACCAGTGGGGCGTGGAGCTCGGCAAGGTAAATCCCCTACACCCTGACATGGCTGTGGAGAGTGGGGTGCAAACACGGGGCTGTCCTCCCGCCCTGTCTTGCCCTGTGTGCTTTCTGGCGCCTCAAAGCACGGCATCAACTCGTTCGACCAGTGGGGCGTGGAGTTTGGCAAGGTTAATCCTTCTGCGCGTTTACCAGTGGGTAAACACACTTTCTGAAGAACAAACTCTGCTGCATGTCCTTTCTTGTATACATGAGCAATGAGGCGAGGATTTCCTCGCCTCGGAAATCCTCGCCTCGAAATTCCGGGGGTCGAGGCGGGATTTCTGGGAAAAATCCTCGCGAGGAATCCTCGCCCCGCCCCGGCGAGGATTCGAGGACTCGACAATTCCTCGGCACTTTAGGGGCGAGGATTGTTTCCTCGCGAGGATTTTTTCCTCGCGTCACTTTTGTGCGGTACAAACTGAATCTTGCTGACTTTGGCCCATTCATTACTTCTGAATCAGCCGAGCCCCATGCTTTCGTATTAGGGTTAGCTAGGGGATAGCTGCCCCCATTTCGCCTAATGCTACCATTTAGAACAGCTAAAACGAAGACCTTGGAGTGGGGTATACTTAACCTGCCGCCGTGCTACTTGCATCGAGAGGGGTCAGGAACGTAGTTGGAAAACCAGATCTGGTTTTCCGCAACCCCATCCAGAGTGTTTGATTGCGAAATTCGCAACCCCTACTGGCGAGGTGTTGGGTTGCAAAATTCGCAACCCCTACTGGCGACGTGTTAATTGCGAAATTCGCAACCCCTACTGGCGAGATGTTAATTGCGAATTTCGTGACCCCCTCTTGAGGGGTCACCTACGAATTTTGCAAGACCCTGCTGCTGAGGGGTCAATTTCGAAATTCGCAGCCCAGGGGCCGGTAACGATTTTCGCAACCCTCTCTTGAGAGGGTCTAATTCGAAAACCTGAGGCAAGGGTGCCTATAACCCCTGGGGAGTAGAACGGAAAGAGCACTTTCGAAATAACAAAGGCAGAGTTCAGCGAATCCCCACCCCCACCCCCACCCCCACTCATGTCAAGGAATCCTCGCCTCGGGTCGAGGATTTTTTCCTCGAGGCGAGGATTCCAATCCTCGCCCCTAAAACCCGGGGGTCGAGGAGGGAGATTTTATAAAAATCCTCGGCGAGGATTCCTCGACCCGCCTCGGCTGGGGCGCGAGGAGGAGATCCTCGGGTCAAGGAATCCTCGCCTCGCCCCGTGCTCATGCCTGCTTTCTTGTGACTCCACGTTGCAATGTGACAACCCTTCTCACGTTCCCCACGTGTCTCCCATACTCACGTCTCCCATGTATATGTCCATGGTCCACCTGTCAGGTGCTGGCCTCGCGAGTGCGCTCTCAGATGAATGCCAGCCGCACCAAGGGCCAGGCGATTGAGGGCTTTAACTACAGCACCACCACGCTGCTCAACCGATACCTGGAGGTAGGCTAAACTGATAAGATTATGCAAAGCATGCTGTTGTGATGTGAGGCAAGGCCGTTCAGGGATTTAGCTGCAGCACCATCAGGGCTCATGCTAAGGTTTTAGGAACTTTGCTTCCCCCGGATTCCCTACCCCCAAGCACCCTGATTCGTCCGGATTTCAGGGTAATTGATTTCTGTTTCATTTATGCGTACGAAATTTCTTTTAGCCCAGTTATAGAAAACATTGACTGGGGCAGGACAGGTGGAAGCCGTGATATTCAAGGGTAAACGCTTCGGTATTTTGGGTGGCAGAGATGGCAGAATATTTTTTGGGCTACCATTTTCGAGGGTTGTATTATTCCACTAAGCTTGAGTTCTAAATTGTGTGCTGCGTGGTTTCAAGTTTTAGAAACTTGAAACCTGACGATTTTTAGGGAGTTGTGAGACGAAACTGGTGTTACGCACATCGAAGGAATTTGATTGGTTGGAAACTTGACTGGGGTTTGCATGGGCTGACTGCGGGAACTTGAAAGGTGGGGTCATTGCAATTTGGGACCTGGCATCAAACCCAACCAGTGCCCCTGGGAATCGCTGACTCGGCGAAACTTGGTACGCTTGCGACAGTATCGCCAAAATCAGTGGCGGCAGTTTCCCAAAATATCTAACAGAAGTGCGTCATGTTTCTAAAGCATGAACGATTCTGGCTGTGGGCTTTAACAACTCGGTTAAAGTAGGTAGAAGCAGGGCATGAAGGAATACAGGATGAATGCCACTTCTGTGCCAGCAATCTTTCTCAACCTTATGGGTGGCGGTGGGGAGTGGGTCGATTTTTTTGGCATTTACGTCCGGATTGACCCCCCCCACAAATTCTGTTCCGCCCGGACTCCCCCGCTAGACCACCTCTGTAAATTCTGGAAACCCCGATAACTCTTAATGTCTATTGATTCTGGGTAATTTCCCTTAATGAGCCCTTGAGCACCACCACGCTGCTCAACTCCTACCCAGAGATAGGCTGTTGCTTGTGACTGTTAAGGATGTGAGTGTGACTGTAGATGAATGATAGCAGCACCAAGGGCCAGGCGATTGAGGGCTTCAACTACAGCTCCACCACGCTACTCACCCGATACCTGGTTGTATGGCAGCGTGTTATTGTATTGCATGTGTATGTGACGCATGTGCATGTGACCACTTCAGCACCACCTTGGTGCTCAACTGCTATTTGTAGGTACACTGTCATTGTGATTGCAACCGTTGTGATGGTGGCTTAAAGGGTATCATTGTGGATCTCAGTCCCTTGCCATTTTGTTCCCCCTTTCCCATGCCCGTCTTACCTACAGTGCTTGTTGAACAGGGAAAAACTCAGCTGTTGATGGGAGACGGGGAGTTAGAGGCACTTCAAGAGCTACCGGTATCCGTGCGAAAAATATCGCCCTTCCACTATGTGTTCCTTATGATTGTTCCTCCCACAGGGCAAGACTCAGCTGCTCTATCCTGAGCCTTACAACGTTTTTCCTAAGGACCTGCTGACTGGAGAGGGGGTGAAGAAGCCTGTCACCCCTCCCTCGTCCCCATGAAAACCTAAACCTTCCAGCCCGTCCATCGCTTTGCTTGGGTGCATTAGGGTTTACTGCGATTTTCGACCGTGGAATTTGTCGTCATTCACGTTTTATAACAATGCTAAACCTGCCGTTTTCCTAAAGCCTGCTACTCCTAAAGCCTTCGCATTTGGATATTGTATGATTTATGTAGCTCTTTAATATTAGAAGGAAAAATATACCTGTTATAACGTCATAGGGAACGAGGTTTGAAATTAAGGTTGGACGTGATAGGACATAGAGGCAGGCTGGACATTCAGACATCGTAGTTGGACACAGCACGGATGTATCTTGGGAAGGTTTTGTGATGCCTAAGGGTGTGGGACATCGGAAAAAAACGCTTCAGTCCGGACCGATCACGGATTCCGGCAGTCCGAACCACCCCCATCGAGAGTCCGTACGTACCACCTTGAGAACCCCTCGCAAGAATGCCCGAGGTTCCAGCATTTGAAATTCAAAGGCATTCGTACGAAACCGCACGAATATGCTTCAATTTCCCATCATCGCCAAGACTCGTGCACCGTCGCTACTGCTCGCTACTACTCGATCATCGCCCAACCAACATCTTGGCAGGAATTTCGCGAACTTCTCGTCACCAACCCTGGTGACAGGGCGTTTCGCAGCACGTTTCGTGTGCTGCTAGTCGTGTGACTCATCCAGACATTCGGGAGTTGTGGAGTTGCTGTCCGGATGAGCCATTTCGTGCTGCATGTTCCATCGATGGTAAGAATTGCGGCGATGAATTTCGGCGATGAATTTCGGCGACGTGCGAAGTGTGGTGACGACATTTTCGAAATGCGTAACCTTGCCAAAGTCCGCACCGTATTCGAGTTCACAAATTGGAGGTCCCATACCCTAAATATCCCAAGGAATATTCTCGAGAATTCCAAAAGATGCGTCCAGGTCAGCAAGTGCAGCCCTTCCCCCAACCGACATTGGTTGTCGCGCGTCCTGCTGTTCGTTTGTGCTGCACAAGTGGCTGACGTTTGTTCAGCAGGAATCTTGATTCTGCCTTTGAATGAATAAGCGACAAAATAAGCGAAAAAAATAAATAGAAAAAATATACGGTCAGTTGTCGCTGATCCCTTTTCGGAATGGAGTCTCCCCGATAGTCTCCGCAATATGGGTTTCATGTCAGATTACCTGCACTTCAAAGAGCAAGATTTTTCCACCGAATAGAATGGAATTGTTTGCTAGCAACAAAGCAAACTCGGGCAAATCCTGATCCTCTCCTGGTACTACAAACAATTTCTCCTTGTAGTTTTCAGGGGGGCTCTACTTGTTCATAAGTATAGGGTTGATTCTATTCCTGACCCCGCAGTAGCTGGGGAGATCGGATTGGCTGTAATTGTCATGGCCAACGAGCTCATGCGAGAACCGCCAAACCACGGCTTGAATATTCTGCGTGACGACGGTGTGCCACATTCGAAGCGAGGAAATGACGAAACTCGCCGACGCGGTAACAGTCAGTCGTGTGGCTGGTTCGCTTCGCCTTGAACAGTGCCATCTCAAGGCAAATCTCGAGGCTGCCAAACCAACCAATTCACAAACCCCAGCATGTCCCCAGGGCTCCTAGGGTGTTGTTTGTTGGTGCTTCCCGGCCTCTGCAGACACCCCTGTCCCCTACCATCACTTGTAGCACTCTGAAACGACAGAGTGACTACCACTGATAGCTGTTAGAAGTATTGACCTGCATTATTCGTACTATTAGTCAACTACAGTTTCACCAGATCTACTTGTTTGGTAAAAGAAACACCGTGTTTTCGAAAAGCATCCTACTCCTTTGGGCCACTACTACCAAAATCGGCCAGTAAGATGGAAGAGCTACAAGAATACTTGCAGAGACTTCAAGAGGAGCGTGTGAAGGTGTTGCTGTTCAAGAGGGAGTTGCCTCTGTGCGCAGAACTCATTGACAACGGTAATAAGTTATAGAGGGGCTCTCTCGCGCTCTCTCTCTTTCTCTCTCTCTCTCTCTCTCTCTCTCTCTCTCTCTCTCTCTCTCTCTCTCTCTCTCTCTCTCTCTCTCTCTCTCTCTCTCTCCCTCTCTCACTCTCTCTCTCTCTCCCCCCTCACACACTCCCTATTTATCTCTATACCTCTCTTTAAGACAGTGTCCCCACTCCCCCCTCCCCCCCCCCCCCCCCCCCCCCCCCCTCTCTTCCCTCCATCCCATTGTGCATTGATCACAGTATCTCCTCCTTTTTCCTTCCTCCATCTCACTCCCTCCCTCTCCTTCTCACACTCCATGTTCATCTCCATGCCTCTCTCTATGTCCTTCCATCCCTCTTCCCTCCGCCCCATTGTGCATTTAACATAATATCTCTCCTTCCCTCTTCTTCCCCCTTCCCTTCCTACTAGTAGCCACGGGAAGTTATGTGGTGCATCTAGACAGAAGCTCCCACCAATACGCACACATACAGTGCGCTATTACACTACCTACGACAATGTAGGGTTAGATTTATGCAGGGATAACTACATAACACGTCACCATATGCTTGCACAGATGTACCCACATACACACACATACACACACATACACACACATACACACACATGCACACACGCACGCACGCACCGCGCGCGCCGCACGAAAAAGCGGGAGCGGAAATACGGAGTAGGTACATGGTAGGCACGGTGTAGGCACGTCAGCCACGGAGTCCTTGGCCTTGCTATATGAACAACTATATAGTTAGTACTGCGTATGTGAGTACCACATTTTTGGGGTGACACACACATATAGGTCATAATAAGTATGAATACGTTGTGTCGATATAAGTTTCTGCATGAGCACAAAACACATGCATATACATACTTATGCACAAGCATGCATACTGGCATGATTCACATACATGTGCATGCGCAAAATCACATACTTCTAGAGCATTTAGTAGGCATGCACACATACAAGCGCATTCATATCATCTTTCACACACTTTCGTTAAAAAAAAAAGAAAAGAAAAAGATCCCCTTCTATCCACGTTTACACGTGATACCCAGTTGTAGTATCTTATGGGGATGATACTAATAAGATTTTCCAGTTAAGGAAAAGAAAAGGATCACCACTCTCCTTTCCGCTTTTCGCCTTTTTTCTAGAGGCTCTAGGGGCGTTATGGATACATGAACTCCAAAACACTCACCATGACCATCGCTTCAGATCTTGGTTTCTAGCTTCACATTTCTAGCAGTGTTTCTAGCTTCAAAATTCTAGCAGTGTTTCTAGCTTCACATTTCTAGCAGTGTTTCTAGCTTAACATTTCTAGCAGTGTTTCTAGCTTCACATTTCTAGCAGTGTTTCTAGCTTCACATTTCTAGCAGTGTTTCTAGCTTCACATTTCTAGCAGTGTTTCTAGCTTCACATTTCTAGCAGTGTTTCTAGATTCACATTTCTAGCAATGTTTCTAGCTTCACATTTCTAACAGCGTTTCTAGCTTCACATTTCTAGCACCGTTTCCAGCGTCACATTTCTAGCAGTGTTTCTTGCTGCATCTAATGGTTGATTTCAAAACGTTTCAAAACGTCTCTCAGAGAAGCAGTTGGCTGATTTCATAGCAGCTTTGTTTCAGCGTTTGCTAATAACAACCATTTTTCGTGCGTTTCTATTTCCCTCCTACACTTGACTCTCTTTTTGCAGCCATTACGGATACAAAAAGCCGCATAGATGCAATGAAGCGGCGCGACAAAGGATCGAATAGGGAGGGGGCGGATAATGGGAGGGAAGCATCTAGAGATACAGAAAGAGAAGAGGAGGTGGACGCTGGAGAAGTGGGGGTGATCAGGAGGACAGAAGACATGTCAGAGAGAACAAGCGGGCCAGTTGGAGGGGAGAAAGAGGAGAGGTCAAACAAGAAGGTTTATGATTGGATGGAGGTCAACGAAACTGAGGAAGCACAAGCAGGACAACTGGTGCCAGAAGCAAGGAAAGAGGGTCAGCAAGCTGAGTCCTTGAGCACTCACATGCAGAATGAAAAGAAGGGTGGAAGGCGAAGGAGAGTGAGAGAAGAGTGGAAGGAGGAGCGAAAACAGGGGGGGATCCTAGAGAGGGGCAAGGAGCAGTCTAAGAAGAGAAGGAGAAAAGGAGCGGAGGGGTTGTTGGGAGGTGGTGGTGCCGTTGACGTGGATTGTATGCTCATGCCTGCATGGGCAAAGAACTGTTGCGATCTATCTAATAGTGGAGATAAAGGCTCGTTGGAGCTTAGAGGTCTAAAGGGGAAAGCTTGTAGAGAGGACGATGGACAAGGGGAGGAGGGCAGAAGATCAGGTAAGGGACGGGAAGAAAAAATGGGAGGGAGGGCAGAAGGGGTTAAGAGGAGAGTGGGAGATGAGGCTGAGAGAAGAGAGACGAGAAAAGAGGCTGGGGACAAAGAGCAGAACGAGGTTGAGAGAGAGACTGATGATTGTGAAGAAGGTGGGGATAAGGAGGAGCTGACACCAAGGAAGGCCGTACCAGAGGGTGCGGGCGTCATGAGGTGGGAGAAGAGTAGCGGGCGAGCGATGACAGTACCATCATCGATGTACTTGGCACTTAGTCTTGGCAACCCGAGCATGCGAGGGAGTGGAAGGAATAGGAGAGGGGAAGGGGTTATCACAGAGCAGAGTGCGGAGGGGAATAAACATTTGAAGGAGCGTGGGGAGGAACACAGAAAGGAACATGGGCAGGAGCCTATAAGGAAGGATGGAGAAGAGTGTGGGGAGGAGCGTAGGAACAAAACGAAGGGACATGGGACAACAGAAACGAACGAGAGTAGAATCCAGATAAGGGAGTGGGGCATGGAGCTTGGACCCTTGTGGGAGGGTCGGATGGGGCAGAGTGCAGCAGGCATAGAAGTGGCCACAGCGGTGGCAGCAAAAGTCACTTCGGCGAGTGCCGCTGATGGGGCTGCTGTTGTGGCTGGACATGCCATGGTTGCTTCCTCATCTCATGCTGGCGCTGTCACTTCTGTCGCTGCCGCTACACATGCTACTGCTGCTGCCACTGCTGCCACTGCTGCCACTGCTGCCACTGCTGCCACTGCTGCCACTGCTGCCACTGCTGCCACTGCTGCCACTGCTGCCACTGCCACCGCCACTGCTGCAGCTGCTCCCGCCTTGCCTCCCCCACCTGCAGTACCTCTTGCAGCCGCAGCTGCAGCAGGCGGAGTGCAGCGAAGGCTGTCGCTCTTCTCTTGTGGTGGTGAGGTAAGCTGGGGTGATTTGACCAGGGGGGGTAGGGGTGATGATGGCAGCAGAGGAGACAAGCTTGATGAGGGAACCGAGGTGTTAATACACAGGTATCAGCAAGCAGGGCAGAATGACACAGGCATTGCTGCTGGTATGGATGTTACCGGTGCTGCTGTTACAACTGGTGTTGATGCCGCTGGCGCTTCTGATGGTGTCAAGGGTGCTGGCGGTGCTAGCGGTGGTGGTGGCGGCAGTGGTGGTGGCGGCCGCGGTGGTGGTGGTGGTGCTGCTGCTGCTGCTGCTGCTGCTGCTGCTGCCGATGATACAGCAACAGGTGCCAAGCCACGGGCCAAGGCAGGCACTACTGCCACTTCAGGTACTGTAGCAGTGGCAGGAACACGGGCAGCAGCAGGTGTAGAGCCACGAGTTGAATCAGGCATCACCGGTTCAGGTTCTGCAGCATTGGGAGCAGCAATTGGGGATGGAGTAGGGGATGGAGTAGGGGTAGCAGCAGGCGCGGAGCCACGAGTTGAAGCAGGTGCAACCCCTGGTTCAAGCTCGGCAGCATTGGGAACAGCAGCAGGCACAGAGCTGCGACTTGGGGCAGGCACGGCTTACAAGGTAGCTAGCAGCGGCTGCACAGGATCAAACACTGGCGTAGAGAAGCAGGGCGAGGGCTTGAAGGAGGGGTGCGGGAGAAGGGAGCCAGGTGGAGGGAAAAGGAGAGAGGATGTATCGGAGGGGAGAGGCGATGCTGTTAGAGGTGACATGCTAGGGAGTGGTGATGATGGTTTATGCGAGCAAAAAGGTTCCGCCAACAGTACAAGCAATGCAGTAGCGATCAAAGGGAGGGGCCTTGGCTCTAAATTGACACGAAGAGAGGAGACGTGGGGGGAGGAAGTGGAGGCAAAGGGAGGTGAGAAAGTAAACAAGATCGATGCACGGGGGGAGCGGACGGAGGGAAAAGATGGGAGAAGGATCGTTCGATCCAAGACAAATAGCCCAAGGATTGTAAGAAGCAGTGGGGAGAGGAGTGTTGGAACTAAGGTGGTGTTAACAGGGGCAGATCTGGAGGAGGGGAAGGTTGATAAGAAGAGCCTAAGGGCTAAAACAGAGAGCCCTAGGGGCTTTGGGAGCTGTAGGGGAAGGAGTGCTGGAAGTGGTAGTGATGCGGGGAAGCGTGGCCGTGGCAACTGTAGTGATGGTGCTAGACCTGGTGACGATGACGATGATGGTGACGATGGCGATGATGGTGACGATGACGATGATGGTGACGATGGTGATGATGGTGATGATGGTAATGATGGTGATGATGGTGATGATGGTGATGATGGTGATAATGGTGATGATGGTGATGATGGTGGCGGCGGCGATTGTAGTGGTAGTGGTAGCGACAGCGCCAATGGCAAAGGCAGGGGTGCAGGGACCAGTGGCAGCGGCGGGGGCAAGGGATTTGGCGGAGGTGGGAGTAGCAGCGGCGGTGGTGTTAATGAGGATCGCCATCGGGGGGCCTCTGGAAGGTTGCGTGCGGGAAAGAAGCAGCGGCGGTGCTGGTCGCATGACATTCACAAGAGATTCCTCGATGCGCTTATAAAGCTTGGTGGTTGCTATGGTGTGTATGCCTCCCCTACTCCTCGGTGGTTGCTACAGAGTGCGTATCCTCCCTATTGTTTGTTGCTTGCTACGGTGTGCGTGTCCCCCCTACAGCTCGTTGCTTGCTACAGTGTGCGTGTCCCCCCTACTTCTCGTTGCTTGCTACAGTGTGCGTGTCCCCCCTACTGCTCGTTGGTTGCTACGGTGTGCGTGTCCCCCCTACTGCTCGTTGGTTGCTACGGTGTGCGTGTCCCCCCTACTGCTCGTTGCTTGCTACGGTGTGCGTGTCCCCCCTACTGCTCGTTGCTTGCTACCGTGTGCTTGTCGCCCATACTTCTCGTTGCTTGCTACGGTGTGCGTTTCCCCCCTACTTCTCGGTGCTTGCTACAGTATTCGTGTCCCCCCTACTGCTCGTTGCTTGCTACGGTGTGCGTGTCCCCCCGACTGCTCGTTGCTTGCTACGGTGTGCGTGCCCTCCCTACTGCTCGTTGGTTGCTACGGTGTGGGTGTCCCCCCTACTGCTCGTTGCTTGCTACCGTGTGCTTGTCGCCCATACTTCTCGTTGCTTGCTACGGTGTGCGTTTCCCCCCTACTTCTCGGTGCTTGCTACAGTATTCGTGTCCCCGCTACTGCTCGTTGCTTGCTACGGTGTGCGTGTCCCCCCTACTGCTCGTTGCTTGCTACGGTGTGCGTGCCCTCCCTACTGCTCGTTGGTTGCCACGGTGTGGGTGTCTCCCCTACTGCTCGTTGCTTGCTACGGTGTGCGTGTCCTCCCTACTGCTCGTTGGTTGCTACGGTGTGGGTGTCTCCCCTACTGCTCGTTGCTTGCTACGGTGTGTGTGTCCTCCCTACTGCTCGTTGGTTGCTACGGTGTGGGTGTCCCCCCTACTGCTCGTTGCTTGCTATGGTGTGCGCGTGTCCCCATACTGCCCCCCGGTTTCTACGGCGCGCATGCCTCCCCTGCTACTCCGCGGTTGCTACGGCGTACATGTCTCCCCTATTGCTTGGTAGTTGTTACATGTTCTATCCATTTTCCTCCATCAGCCTTTAAAGTGATGGTACATGGAAGCTCATTGTGTACTCGCTCCTTCTCACGTCTCCACCCCATTTCCTCCTTCCAGTTGCCACACCCAAGCAGATTAAGGAGCTGATGAAAGTCGAAGGCTTGACTAACGATGAGATCAAGAGCCATCTACAAGTACCTATATTCGACCTTTCTATCCCTTTTCCATGGCTCAAAGTCATTCATGCAACAATCTTGAGTCGTGTCAAAGCCACCCTTAGAATGCAGCACCGTATTTTCACTGCACCCGGCCTCTCAATGCATAACAATAGACAATACTGCATGTTCCTCCCCCCCCCTCAAATCCCTTGTGATGCCCAAACTTATATTTAAACCACGCCCTTCCCCTTTAATTCTTGATACTGAGGCATTCGTATTTTGCCTTCATATCCTCTATCCCGCTCACAGAAATACCGCCTCCAGACTCGGCAACACATTGCATCCCCTGCAGCAGCAGTAGCAGCAGCAGCTGGGGTATCAGCAGCAGAAGCCCAGGCATCAGCACCTATAGCAACCACAGGAGGAGGACACGGAGGACTAGCAGCAGCAGCAGCAGCAGCAACCACGCCATCAGCAGCACTCCCAGCATCAGCAGTAACAGTTGGGCATGTGTCGCAGGGACACGTGGCACCAGCTCATTTGCTGGTTCTGGGAAGCATTCTTGTGCCGTCATTGGCAGGCCAGATCTCCCCTTCAGAAGCACCCAATCGGCTCAGCCACGTCAGCAGCATGCACCATCATACACCTCACTTGCATGGCCATATCAGCAATGCAGATCAATCGACACTCCAGCAAATACTGCAGCAGCAGCAGCAGCAGCAGCAGCAACAGGAGTACCACCAACAGCAGCAGCAGCAGCAGCAGCAGCAGCAGGTACGAGTTCCAGATTGGCAGAGCAGCCAGGTGGGGGCTTTCGATCCCTTCTTGCTACACCAAATGCAAGCATACCAACAGTTGAATCAGCAGCAATCACAGCAGCATAATCTGCAGCAGCAACAGCACCAGCAGCAGCAGCAGTTACAGTCATATCAGCTGCAATCACAACAGCTGCAGCCACAACAGTTGCGGCATCAACATCCCCAACAACAGACATCCCAGAGACAGCCCCAGCCATTTGAGATACAACCCCTGCTACATCAACAACAATCGCAGCAGCAGCAGGAGCACATGCAACCACCCGCAGAGCAAAACCGGAACCAGAACCAAGGAATCCATCCTGCAACCAACAGTGTTGCCCATTTGTTCTCACCAATTGCTTCTCCTCACACTGCCGCTCTCCTTTCCACTAACCCTTCTCCGCTGCAACAACCCACGGGGTCCCCTCCACTCTCTTCCTCCTTGGTCCGGCCCATTGCCCGCTCTTTCAAGAGACCTACATGAGGTAGCGAGGGTGGGTGGCATGGGTCATCGGTGGACTTACTGCCTCTTGGTCTTATCTTTCGGGTGTCATGCAACGGCTTGTTGCAGACACTCTAAGGTGAAGGGGAAAACATGGAGTCGAAAGACAAAGGAGAGGCAAAATACTGTAAGGTGGGCAAGGTGAAGGAGCGGGGAAGGGGAGGGATGTAAGGTGCCTGTTCTAGAGCCTTATTACGGTACACTTGGGAGGGAGGTAAGGTGTCTGTTCTAGAGCTGTATTACGGTACACTGGTTTACCCTTGCCCCTTCATTCCTGGGTGTTGTATATACCGTAAAAGCCCGGATATAAGACCCCCTAGTAATAGAAGACACCGGGTCTTCTATTAGGCGCTTATCTTCGGGTAACCCGGTTTTTTGCCCCTGGATCTAGGACCATTTGGAATATTTCTAAACGGTATGTGATAAGACCCATGGGTCTTATATCCGGGCTAATACGGTAATTCATTCTAGTAAGCATAAGAGCGTAAAATATACTTTGAATGTTTTGAAGAGAAAACAATGCACATATTATGCTCCACATAGTCTCGTCATTGTTCATAAGTGGAGAAACAAGGTAATGGACAAGACGGATGATGAACTTGCTGTGACAGGGCTCTTAGAGTAGCGTAATGTAGTAGAAAGTAGAGTACATGGTGGTTTTTGTCAACTTATACATGTTAGCTGTGTACAAGTTATAGGCTAGACTGGGGTATGTTTCTAGTGAGTACAACCAGCTAGTATTTGTTCTAAGTTTCCACTTCTAGTTATCATTCAGTTCTTTAACATGGTATCACGCGTAGGTTAGGATCCCCCACCTACCACTTCCGCCCGTACCCTAGCTAGGCCCCGCCGCTTCCCCCTGGGCCCCGTCGCGCCTCCTAGCCCCTTCGCGCCCCTCCTGGGCCCTGCCGTGCCTCCTAGCCCCGTCGCGCCCCTCCTGGGCCCCGTCGTGCCCCTCCTGGGCCTCGTCGCGCCCCCTTAGCCCCGTCGCGCCCCTTCTGGGCCCCGTCGCGCCCCCTAGCCCCGTCGCGCCCCTCCTGGGCCCCGTCGCGCCTCCTAGCCCCGTTACGCCCCTCCTGGGCCCCGTCGCGCCTGCTAGGCCCCGTCGCGCCTTGCCTGGCCCCGCCGCGCCCGCTTGGCCCCGTCGCGCCTGCCTGGCCCCGCCGCGCCCGCTTGGCCCCGTCGCGCCTGCCTGGCCTCGTCGCGCCTGCCTGGCCCCGCCGTGCCCTGTCTAGCCCCTCCGCACCCGCTTGGCCTCGTCGCGCCCGCCTGGCCCCGTCGCGCCTGCCTGGCCCCGCCGCGCCTTCCTGGCCCCGCCGCGCCTGCCTGGCCCCTGCCGCGCCTGCCAGGCCCCGCCGCGCCTGCTAGGCCCCGCCGCGCCTCCCTGGCCCCGCCGCGCCTCCCTGGCCCTGCCGCGCCTGCCTGGCCCCGTCGCGCCCGCCTGGCCCCCGCCGCGCCTCCCTGGCCCCGCCGCGCCTCCCTGATACCTGCCTGGCCCCGCCGCGCCTGCCTGGCCCCGCCGTGCCTGCCTGGCCCTGCCGTGCCTCCCTGGCCCCGCCGCGCCTCCTTGGCCCCGCCGAGCCTGCCTGGCCCCGCCGCGCCTGCCTGGCCCCGCCGCGCCTGCCTGGCCCCGCCGCGTCTCTCTAGCCTCTCCCACTACTCGCCTAGCCCCTCTTCGTGCCTGCTCGGCCTGTCGTGCCACCTCGGGCTCCGTCTCCTCTGCTCACCAGCGCCGGGGCGTCTCACGGCTGCCGTGCTGGAGAGTGCCGCCGCCGTGTCCCTGCGTCGCTGTGTTCCTGCGGAGCTGTGCTGCTGACCCTGCACGATGGCCGGCTTCGTGCTCCGCCTGGACGCTGAGGGTCATGCGGTTGACTTCGCCGCCTGGCTCTCCGATCTCCGCCGCCACCTTACAGGTCAGCGCTAGGATGGCCACTCTTTGGTTGTCCATGTCGATGGCTTGCTCTCCCGCCCCCCTGCACCTGCTCCCCTCCTTGCTGACCCCCCTCTAATGACCGTGAGACCTTCTCTACTGCTGCGCTAGCCTGTGCGGTCTGGGACTCTCGCGATGCAGTCCCTTAGGTTGCTATTAGCCACGCCCTCCTTGTGTCTGAGCGCTCGCGTTTTGCTACTGTTGAGATGGCCAAAGCTTACTTAGACGACATTATTGCTCGCTATTCCACACCCGCGTCTGCTTCTGCTGGCCGCCTGCTCTTCCCTATGCTTTTCCCAGACCTTGCAGCCTTCCCTACCGTCGCAGACTTTGCCACTCACCTGTGTGCCCTAGAGACCCGCTATCGCACTGCCAGCACTGCTGCCCAGCTCACTGCGCTCCCCCCCCCTTTCTGCATGACGCTCTATTTTATCGCCATGCGCCTGCCAGACCGCCTTGCTAGTGCTCGCGATCACTTCCTTAGCCAGCACCCAGGTGATCTCACCCTCACCGCCTTTGTCGATACCCTCATCGAGATCGAGACTCGCCAGCGCACTATCGCTCAGTCGAGCGGTGCGCTGGTAGTCTCTATCTTTCACGGTTGTGCCCCCTCCCAGTGCACGTTCACTGACGTTTCGGCTGCGGTCGCCACGGCGACCCCTCTCACCGAGACGGCTGCTGCGGTCCACCCGCAGCAGCGCTCGCGCCGTGGTGGCCGTGGTCGTCAGGGAGGTAGGGGTGGTGGTGCAAGTAGTGGTGGTGGTGGTGGTCGTGACGGTAGTCCGCCTGAGGGGACTACCACCGGTGGGCAGGAGCAGCAGCCCCAGCCGCAGCAGGAGCAGCCCCAGCAGCAGCCGCCGCCCCAGCAGCAGCCGCCGTCCCAGCAGTAGTCGCCGCAGCAGTGGGTCCGTCTCCCGGCTGGCTGGCCCGGCACCTCCGGAGGTAGTGGCCGTGGTGGTGGCCCGCGCAGCTTGGCGTCTACCGGCGGCTCCGGTGCTGTGACCTGCCAGTACCAGCTTCAGACCCGGCCTCTCCGCGGCACTCTGTGCCGCCGCCCGCACCCGACCGCCCGCTGTTTCCGCCGCCTCGACGATCTCTTTCGTCGTCGCTTTGGCCCGGCCCCGGACCTCCCCGACTGGCACAGCCTGCTCCGCCAGGGCGTGCCGATCTTTGAGTTAGACATGGATCAGATAGGTGCTACTTTGCATGCTTTGTATTCTGACGCTTCTAGTGTTGCTGGATCTTATTACCCAGTGTACTCTAGCCTTGGTGTAGCACCATTGTGTAGCTTAGCCTCCCCTGCTGCGTCAGGCGTAGGACTGCCTAGTTTGCCTAGCCTAGTCTCTGCACCGGCTCCGTTCGCGGCCTCCGCCGATGCTTCGCTGTCCTTCACTCTCGACTCCGGTGCCTCTGCCTGCTTCTTCCGCGATCGCTCTGCGCTCACGCCGCTTGCTACGCCTGCTGTTGTCTCTCTCGCTGACCCCTCTGCGGGTCCTGTCGTCGCTCGCAGTTCTACGTCCCTTCCCTGTCCAGCAGTTCCCTCAGGCTCCCTTACAGGTCTCCACGTTCCCTCGTTCTCGAGGAACCTGGTTGGTGTCGGCTGTCTCCAGGACCTCGGCGTCACCACTACGTTCCCCGGGCACGAGCGGAAGGCCGACGTGCCCGACGTTCTTCTCCCGTGGGTCGTAGCTACGCGTCTTCATCGCGGTATCCCCGTGTTGTGTCTCCACTCTGACCGTGGCAGCGAGTTCTCCTCGGGTCGGCTTGGATAGTTTTGTCGTGCGGAGGGCATCACCCAGTCGTACACGTTACTGGACTCGCCACAGCAGAATGGGGTCGCTGAGCACCGCATTGGCTTGGTCATGGAGGTCGCCCGTACCTCCATGATTCATGCCAATGCCCCCCATTTTCTGTGGCCGTTCGCTGTTCGCTACGCTGCTCACTAGCTTAACCTGTGGCCACGCTCCCAGCGGCCGCAGGTTTCGCCGACCCTCCTTTGGACCGGGTCCCCCGGTGACGCGTCTGCGTTCCACGTCTGGGGCTGCCTTGCTCACGTTCGTGCCTCTGGCACGGACAAGCTCACTGCCCGCACTGTCCCCTGTGTCTTCCTCGGTTTCCCCCTGGACTCGTCTGACTGGCTTTTCTACCACCCGCCGTCTCACCGCTTCCTCCACTCTCGTGACGTCACCTTTGACGAGTCTGTCTCCTTCTACCGCCGCTTCCCTCACCGAGGTCTCCCGGTTGCCCCCACCCTGTTCCTTGCTCCCTCTCCCCTGGTAGCCCCTGCCCCTCTCCCGCCTCGTCCTGCCCCGTCTGGTGTCTCTCACGTCACTCCCCTCCCGTCGGTTGTCCCCGTTGAGGAGTCTGCTGACTCTGGTGGTACCCCTGGTCCGTCCTTGCTGCGTCCCCCGTCCCCGGTGCCTCCGCCCCCACTGTCGCAGTCGCCGACCCCGCTGCAGCCGCCGCCGCCATCGCCGCCGCAGCCGTCGCCGCTGTCGCCGCCGCCACTGCCGCTCTTGGCCCCTGGGGGTGCTGGAGTTGAGGAGGGCGTTCGTCCTACATCTTCTGGGGGTGCCGCTGGTGTTGGAGGGGGTTCTCGCTCTGGGGGTGCTGCTGTTGAGTGTTTTGCCGACGGTCGTCTGCCTCTGCTGGTCCGAGGGTTCCGGCCCAGCCGTCGCCGCCGCCGCAGCAGCCGTTGCCGCCGGTCTCCGCTCTCCGCCTGCTCATTCTTCCCTCCCCGGGCCGCGCGCCGGTCTCTCCCCCACCGCTTGCTGACCTTCCTATCTACGGTCCTGTGTTCCCGCCGCCGGACTCGTCTCCGGCCCGTCTTCCTCCTCGTTCCCCTCCTGTGTCCCCTCCACTGTCCCCTGACCCTACACCTCTGTCTCACGTTTGGTCTCGCCGTCCCTCCCGTGCTCGTCCCATCTCTCCTGTCCTTCCCACCCACCCTATGTTGCTCCGTTCCCGCTCATCTCGTCCTCCCCTCCTCCCTCGTCCCTTGCTGCTGCACCTCCTCCGTTCTCTGACTACCTCCGTGCCGCTCGTCCCCTTGTCCCACGGGTCCTTGCCTCTCTTGTTACCGACCCTGCTGTTCCTGTCTCGCGCCTTGACGCGCTTGTCGCTGCTGTCGCTGACTTCGCCTCTACCCGCCGCCTTGACTACGCTACCGCTCTGGTCTCTGACCCTGCCCGTCCTCCGTCCGTCGCGGGTGCTCCTGCCCTTGGCCGTGACGTCCTAGAGGACAGGCAGTACGAGCTTGTTTTCCTCTCTAAGGCTGCTCCCCATCTCTGCTCCATGCTGTTAGTCCCTGAGGGTGACCCAGACGCCTTCGACATCCCGACCCCTCGCACCTACGCTGAGGCCACCTCGGGACCTTGGGCCTCTCAGTGGATAGCTGCCATGGAGCAGGAGATGGCATCTTGGAGATCCACCGGCACTTACGTCGACGCAGTTCCCCCGCCTGGGGTGAACGTAGTCGATGGTCGGTGGCTCTTCAAGGTGAAGCACCCCCCTGGAGAGCCGCCTGTCTTCAAGGCGCGCTACGTGGCTAGAGGCTTCAGTCAGTGCGAGGGGGTTGACCTCTTCCAGACCTTCGCCCCGACCCCGAAGATGACCACTCTTCGGGCGCTGCTACACGTAGCAGCACAGCGCGACTACGAGCTTCACTCCCTCGACTTCTCTACTGCCTTTCTTCAAGGCAGCCTACACGAGCAGGTCTACTTGCGCCGACCACAGGGTTTCACTGGTACCTTCCCCCTCTGGGACCCAGTGGCTTCTCAGGCACCCGGTTTACGGCCTGCGTCAGGCTCCTCGCGAGTGGCACGACACGCTGCAGGCCACGTTAGCAGACCTGCAGTTCTTTTCGTCCTCTGCTGACCCTTCGCTATTTGTGCGTTCCGGCCAGACTCCGTTCTACATCCTTGTCTACGTAGACGATCTGGTATTCGCTACTACTGACAGGGACGCACTGGCCTCTGTGAAGGCCGAGCTGCTGAAGAGACACACCTGCACTGACCTTGGAGAGCTGCGTCGTTAACTTGGCCTGCAGATCTCTAGGGACAGAGCAGCACGCACCATCACTCTCACACAGTCACACTTGGTGCGTCAGGTCCTTCAAAAGTTCGGTCTTCAGTTCTCCTCCGCACAGCCCACACCTCTACCTGTAGACCATGGGCTCTCCGCTCCCGTTCCTGAGGAGCCCGTAGAGCCCAGTGGCCCCTACGCAGAGCTGGTGGGTTGCCTCATGTACCTGATGACTTGCACTCGCCCAGATCTCGCATACCCTCTCAGCATCCTGGCTCGCTTTGTGGCTACAGGCAGACACCGAACTCAGCACTGGTCTGCCGCTAAGAGGGTTTTGCGTTATCTTGCTAGTACATCGGGCATGGGGTTAGTGCTAGGAGGACGCAAGCCAGTGGTCCTTACTGGGCACACAGACGCTTCTTGGGCAGACGACTCTGAGACGCTCAGGTCGTCGCAGGGCTACTGCTTTAGCCTTGGTTCGGGTGCTATCTCTTGGAGATCCACTCGCTCGTCGTCTGTGGCTCAGTCCAGCTGTGAGGCTGAGATCTACGCTGGTGCCATGGCGGCACAGGAGCTCCGCTAGCTGACCTTCTTGCTCACAGACTTAGGTGAGCGGCCTAGCTCTGCCCCGGTCCTGTACGCTGACAACAGGGCCATGATACTCCTGTGTCAGGAGCCTCGGCCTGAGGGCAGAGTGAAGCATATCCAGCTGCGGTTCTTTCTCTTGCACGAGCTACAGCAGTGCCGCCAGGCCTGCGTAGTTCACTTGGCCTTAGGTGCCAACACAGCTGATATCTTTATTAAGGCGCTTGCGCCTAAAGATCATCAGCGGCACTGTGTACAGCTTGGTCTTGTTCCTGTAGCTACTCACCTGTTAGGATCCTGATTGTGTACTCTCTATTATGTATGCCTGTGAGACTGGCCTTGTGGCCTTACCTCCAGTGGCTAGACTAGTAGTGCTGCCCTGGCTTGCTTTACTCTTGTTTGTACC